AAAAACCATGGCAAATTAGGCTAACTTAAAAGTTAATAACTTTTTATTTTACATAATCAAAAAGAAAAAAACATTTCGATTGATGTAACTATTCCCTATACTTAAATTTAATAATTTCAGAGATATTTAACAATTTCTAATATTAGACCCACAATAGTCAAAAAGAGCAACGTCTAATGTACAAGTAAAAATTAAAAAATGCTTGGATGGAGGACACTTTGAACATTTAGTAATAAATTAGGAATAAAAATTGTTAATAGTGTTGGTTTATTAAATTGCTACAGTTACGCGTTTGTTAATAAAATATTTCATAAAATAAATTTTTATATTTTATTGTCTTCAATAAGCTAGTGCTTCATCTAGTTGACATCCTATACCTTTGTTGATTTTTTTTCAAAATTAGCATAGTTTGTATTTGGTACTTTTAAATTTTAAGTCAATTTTTTTTAAGTCACTGTATTTTTTTACAAAACACTTTAAACACAAATTATTTACAACAAATTAAAAAAATGACGCCATTAAATTTTGGACAGGTTTCTTGATACAAAATAATATTTAAAATTTTAGAAATTGTTAAATATCTCTAAAATTACTAACTTTTGATACCTATATGGAATAATAACATCATTTAAAAGGTTTTTTTTTAATTTACTATTTGATTATGTAAAAACGTACCGGATGTTATAAATTTAAAATAAAAAAGTTATTAACGTTTCAAGTTAGCCTAATTTCTTATTTTTATAGAAAACCCAGGGCAAATTAAACCTTATAAGGTAATTTGTTGAAAAATGTTAAAGAATTAACATATATGTTAATTCTTCAACAATATTTTAAGATTTCAAAAAATTCCACCCCCAATTACAAAAAAGTTATAGGCTATTTTTGATTGAGGCGCATTTGTCAAATTTTAACGAAAAAAAATCGAAAACTATTTACTTTAGGCATAGAACATTGTAGTGTAATTTTACTCAGAATTTGATGTAGAATTTAAAAATGTATTGTTAAACCGGAAGTGGTATTAGGTTAAATTTATTTAGGAAAATTGACGTAAATAGATTATAAGCGCTTTTAAAATTTAAAATCCATGTCTTGTTCTGTTCCCCAGAAGATTCTAATGGACCACGAATGTGAAACACCCTGTATATACAGGGTGCACCAAGTATCTATGTTTTATATAACATATGTGTATACTTTAATGCGTATTTTTTTATTTCATGAACTTAGGGTTAAACTACTCTCTAAAAATGAATTAGTCAAAAATGACTAATTTAATTAAATTTGCAAAATTGGCGAATGCTCCGGGAAAAGTACACGTGTACCAAAATAACCCTTTATAGGTTAATGGTCTCTATGTTAACCACATCCATTACAGCTTACTTAGAAATGAGGGAGAACCCAAACTTCGACCAAAGTACAAATAAATGAACTCATAATGTGCAGTGGGTATCATATTGGCCTCAATTTAAATTTGGCAATTGTTAGAACCAATGTGGTCTCTATGTTAACCATTGCCTGTTCCTACAAAATTGCGAAAAAGTAACATTTGCAGTAATTGTTGCTGCTAGCGAGCATAAGCATGTTTGTTTTACCTGACAACACACATAATTCAAAAGGTAATTGAATGCTTTACAACTTGTGATAATAGTACTTGGAAAATAGGTTAGCGCTAACGAAATATTTAGATCGTTTTGGAACATAACCTCTATCAAGCTCCCATACCGTGAGACTGTGAATCCATGCTTATAAACGTCCAGTATTTTTTGGTTTTTTGAAAAATTGGATTCAAGTAAACTATTTTATCTAGTTGTTGGTATAACCGAAGATCAGGCTATGGATTCGGAGATTGAGGGCGATAGCCCATCAAGAGCCTTCAAGTACTTTTCGTCTGAATTCACCAAGTACATCTTCATGTTTAAAAGTTACTTCCGCCAATACTTCAGCACGATCCAGCCTACGTAGTCGTAGTGAGCGAACATCCAGTATATATTTCAGAAAACAAATTTTGTTCTTTCAGATGACTTAGTATCGCGATTACTCATCAGATTCAGAGAAAACTACCAGTAGTAGGTCATTTTTGAAAATTGAACAGTGAAAATAAAAATAAAAATATGCATCACAGAAATGCCACTGTAACTTACTCACAAACACAAGAGTAGGTAGAATCAAAAAATGAAGAAACTTTGAGAAATTAAAATTTACTAAAACCGTTTCCAGATAAGAATAATGACAGTGAACAATTTGGAAATAAATATTTGATTTTTTATAGCATACACCATGTAATTATTTTAGCTGGTCCTGAATAAAAAACTAAAATCCTTTCAGAAACGCAAAAAAAACGATTAATTTAAATATGTGGTTTGCATTTAGACCACCGCCCATCTATCATCTTATGGGCAGTGGTTTCCATTTTATCCACCATGATAAATTTAAAAAAAAACAGTTGGATTTTCAAAATAATCATTAAAATAACTTAAGACATCCAAAATAGGTAGGTCTTACCAAAAAATAGATAAAAATAACAATGAATGGTCTCTGCCCTATAAAGGGATAATATTTTGTCCAAAGAACATGAAATATAAATTATTTATTTTTTACTGCTAAATATTTTATAATATTTATTATTTAACTATCTGTAAGTGTGTTGGGTACCTAACACAAAAATCCCACTTACCATGATGGTAATAGTATTATTATCTTGGTTAAAATATCCTAAACAACACAACTAAAAATCAAACAAGTCGGTAAACCAGGTAAACCAAACCAAAAACTAATAAAACACTATAACTAATAAGTATAACTCGTTTTGGTACCTGAACGCAAGAAGAGACTTTCGTGGATTGAAAGAGAAAGTTTATTTTCTATACCTGCCTACACCAGGTGTACCCTCACCAGATAAAACTATTCTATTTCAACAAACTCATTATTGAATCATTTTATAGGTATAAGTAAATAAAAATTATATCAATTAGATGTACCTACCTTTTACATGACATTGCATGCATTGTAAATATTATTGTTTTGTTTATTAGTGTTTAAATTTACTAGTATTATCTCAAAATAAAATTAAATTAATTACTGTATTATTTAATTCCTGGAAATAGAAAAAAAGAAAGTCTTAAACACTTCTTAAATAAACTTAAATTTGGATTTAACATCTGAAGAACTTTAATTTAGGTTCAAAATTTATTTTATAAAATTTAAAAAGTATATTGCGACTAATTCTGCATTTTTTTTTAGTTGTCGGTTTAATCGTCCTAAACTGTTTCTATTAATAAAAATCATTTTTTGTGGGAACAATTTAACAACATTAGGAAACATCCATTAGTTACGTGAGGCATTTTTCTGATAATTTGGACCCCTCTCCCCCTTGGTGAGATTTGGTGAGATGTGGTAGACCCCCCTATCCCTCACGTGAGATTCTAGCCATTAAAATTTCTTAAATTAAACTCAAAAAATAAAAATTGATTACTTTTTTTTGACACATTTGAATTATAATACATATTCTTTAAACCCAAAAGTTGACGTTTGTAATGACCCCCCCCTCCCTTAACATGAGATTTGGTGAGATTTTGCTAGACTCCTCCCCACTATTTTTATCTCACGTATTACGTAATTAATGGATGTCCCCTTATCCCTAAAAGGTATCTACCACATTTGTTTCTTAGACCAAAGCCACTGGTTGCGAAAAACGCGAATAGTTTTTTTTCTATCCGAATAATAAAAATATACCTACTTGTATATTCAAAAAAAGAATGATTTTTAATATTTAAAATTGACAGTTTGCATGGGGTGTGAAAACACCCTGTATAATATTTTGCAATAAAATTATAATTTTAATAATTATTAATAACTCGTAGCTTAGTTAATAATAAAAAAAATATACCTTCTAAGATAAAAAATAATAATTTTACTCGGTTATGTAGTTGCTAAAATTTAAAAATATTATTTAACTTAAAGTTATTTGTAACTTTTAGCAACAACATAATAGGTACCTACTAGGGGTGTCAATCCCGGGATCCCGAAATCCCGGGGTCCCGGGATCCCGTAAAAAATCCGATCCCGAAAATCCCGGGATTAAAAGTCCCAATCCCGGGATCTTAGTAATAAGTTACAAAGAATAAAATAGACTTTTTTTAAAGCGTATGACATTTTTCATATTATAATACTCATAAGCATATATATAAACACTTCATTTTTTTACTCAGTTCAAGTCAAATTATTATACACCGCCGTACAATAATGAAAATACATTGAAATTACATAGCAAGAGTGGTTCCATCTATAGCATAAAATCAGAAAGAAAATTTAAAATTACAGGTCACTGTAGAATAAATTTATGTACATAACCTATAATATAACATATTTTAAACGTCAAACCTGAAAATTGATAATTTCAATGTAAGTTACAGCCCCAATTGGAACTTACCAAGGCCCGATTGATAAAAGAAATGGAATTATTTGTTAATGGGGGTAAACGTGGGTACAATGTGCCTACGAATTCTTAAAAACCATTCTTCCGACTGATGTGAAGTCCGAAAGATATCGTTCGTTAGTTTGTTTGTTGTTTTATTTTAAATTGGTTTTAAAATTAATGATATATTTTTTCGGGACTGATCCCGGGATCCCGGGATTAGTTACCTTTGGTCCCGAAAGGCCCGGGATTGGAAAATGGGCTCGGGATTGACACCCCTAGTACCTACATACATATTATGTATGTAGGTACCTACCTACTTTTGAAAAAAATTGTTTAATCTTTAGTTTATTCAAAAAGTACTACATTTTTGTCAACTAATTTAGGTATTCAAAGTATATCTCAAAAAGTGTGTAGACCCCAAAAATGCAAAAGAATACAGGGTGTTTCCCAAGTTGGGACTACAGTGTTGTCCACCATACAAAACCCCGAAGGGGCGTCCACCCTCTTTACTTGTCTAAGGTTGACACAGATCATAGTTAATATATTCGTTAATAGATGGCGCAAACAAAACTAACCAATTTGATTGGCCCAATCGTCATCAATTATGTATTTAATGTCAAAAACCCCTATAAATATTTTTATTTTGAAGATAATCGTTATTTATTAAAAACTATGTGATTTTCAACAAAAATAGACAGTGTTTATTGTTAAAACTCGCGCTATGTTGTACTGGGATATTAGGCGAGTATAAAATGTCCAATTATCAATATTGCGGTGATATTCTTCATTTAAATGTCGGAGGAAAAAGGTAACAAAGCAAATTCCTTATTATTGTTACTAATAACTTTTCGTTAGATTTAGCACATCGCGTCAAACATTAACATTAATCCCAGACACATTCTTCACCTCTTTACTAAGTGGCCGAATATCAAGTTTAAGAGATGAAAAGGGAGCTATTTTTATTGACAGAGACCCTAAAATATTTTCAATCATTCTTAATTATTTACGAACAAAAGATATAGAACTTAATGGTGTTGATTTAAGAACACTGAGACATGAAGCTGAATATTATAACATAGCCCCTCTGGTCAAACGGCTGATGTTGTGTGAAGAATTGACTGAATCTACTTGTGGGGACGTGTTGTTCTATGGGTCATTGCCACCACCTTGTAAGTAATGTTTTTATACTTTAGGTAAAATGACTAACAAATTTAATTGCATTGAAATGTTAATACAATACAGTATACTGTATAGATACCTAGATGGTTAGTTTTGCTTATAGACTTAGAGACTCTAATATGAAGGGTCGCTAATTTTGGTTGAAAAAATATACAGGGTGTCCCTTTAAAAATTTGCAAATTAGCAATTTTTGTGCTAATTTTGCCAAAATATTTACACAAATTATATGTAAGTTCTTTTCATATTATATTCACATTTTAAGGAGAAATATCTCTTTCTATTTAATATTTTATTGTTTACCGTCTTGCTTATTGTACTTATATGTAGAGATGGAAATTGGAAAGTTTCCATTTTGGTAAGTTTCCAGTAGGGAATTTATTTTTATTTTGAAAGTTTCTTTTAAAATTACCGGAAACATTCCCGAAAACTTTCCTTGAAAACTTTCCCAGTTTTTTTATATAAATGTAAATTGTTTAGCAGCTGATTTGCGAAGTTAAGGCCAAGAAACTGAATAAAAAGAAGTTAATTTTTGTTAATTTAAGATCTCATCATTATAATTCATAAATGGTTTGCAAAAAACCCTTTGCATAAAAGCCTTTTAAAAGGTAAACGAAATAAAAACAATAAACAAAGTTAAAATCATTCTAACGTTTTTATTGATTATTTATAGAAACAGCCCGGCAACATTCGTGATATTCATACGAACATCACGTCGTGATTTTCACAAATTTTATTCATACTGATATCCTACGGAAGTCACCGCGTGATAAATGAAAATCATACGAACGTCACGTCGTGATTTTCACAAATTTTATTCATACGGACATCATCCGGATGTCACTGCGTGAGAAATGAAAATCATGTCGTGATTGTTTGCGACTGACCGATAGCACAAAAAATCATGTCGTGATTTTTTATGCCAACGGTGTTTGGATAATTATTTTTGCGCCACGTTCGTACACTAAGAGAAAAATTATGTTGAATCAACAGTTTTTGCGGTTAAATACATTTAATATTTTCTTGGATTTAAATTAACTATATATAGTTAATTTAAATCAACCCAACCGCAAAAACTGTTAATTCAATTGTTAACATACATTTTCTCACAATGTACGAATGTGGTGCAAAAATAAATATCCGAACATGTCGGTGCACCGATAGCATAAAAAATCATGTCGTGATTTTTTATGCCATCCGTGTTTGGATATTTATTTTGCGCCACAATCTTACATTGAGAAAAAAAGTATACGGCCATTCCACGCGTAACGGATGGGACCTTGTTAAACAACTTTTGTTTAGAATTATTTATAAAAATTTGACATTAGTAATATAATAGAACAATATTATTTTGTAAATAAAAACTTGCAACTGTCCCATCCGTTACGCGTGGAATGGAATATCTTTTTTAATTGAACCCGGACAACATTCGTGATATTCAAACAACGTTTTATAAATTATAACGGTGTAATATGAATAACAAACTATAGGTTTTAAATGCGCAGTGTGCAGGGCTCATACGCATGCGCAAATTTTGCAAATATAACACCGTAGTTCTACATGATATCACTGTGATGAAGCATGTGTATGCACTCAGGATATCAGCGTGATAAAAAAATCACGTTTTGATATCATCATGACTTCACCAGGACATCCCGATTGTTGTCCGGGAGTACAATGTCAAGAGAAAAATCTTATAATTGGAATGATTACAAAATAGTGCAAAAAAAGACCATGCTCAATGAAAGTTCTGTAAAATAATATATGTTGTTAATGCAACCAAAATGATAAAAATTATAAAAAAGTGACTTTGTGCCCTACAAGATAATATCTTATATTATAAAATTATCTATGCAAAATTTTAAGTCTACTGAAAGTCAAGAAGAGCAATGCCAGTACTGGAAACATAAAATAATTTTTTGATAACATATCTCTTAAAGAACAGAAAAAATTGGAGGAAATATTCTTGAACAATTTACTCTAGTTCTTGCCCCTTTAGTTAAGTCAAAAACCCTGATGTAATATTTTTTAAGAAACTAAGTCCAAGTTTCAAGCCACCTGGAAGAAAGAAATTAAGTACAACATTGCCTAACTCTGAATATGCTAGAATCCAAAAAGTAGTTGAAGATAAAGTACAACAGGCTGATAATATGACAATTCTTTCAGATGGTTGGACAGATTTCAATGGGGTGGCTCTAATAAATATAATTGTAGCAACTCCAAAGCCTACATTTTTAAAAACAATAGACTCAGGCTTACTCAAAAATGTTGATTTTATTTTTTCATATTTTATTGCCATACCATATTTATTTTTATTCCTATATAGGTAGCCAATATTATTTATATTTAGTAATTCTCGACCACTGTGGTTTTGGCCACGCCCACGTGCGCAAAATTGTGCTCAGCTACTTCAAACATATGTCTGGTTAACTTATAAAACCTCGTTACAAAGTTTTGTTTAAAGTAAGGTATAACCCGTATGGTCTAGGTCATAGGAATTTTAAAGAAAAAAACTAAAGATTGCCAATTATTACTTTTAATATGCTTGAAAGCTACTGTAAAAAATACAACATACAATACGCGTCAGGCGAAGGGTTAAGTTTAAAAAAACTATTTAAAACTTAGGTATACAGGGTGTTTTTTTTAACTTGAGACAACTTAATATCTCGAGAAATATGCATATGCATGCATGCACGGAAAAATGTCTTAAATAAAAGGTTAATGTGACCAAAGGGGACATTATTTGTTGCTACCGCTAGCCACCCCCTACCCCTCCTTAAGTGTGAAAGGAGGGGTAACTTTGGAAAGTCAAAAGGGATGACCCGATTTTTTTCACAGGTTTTGGTAGTACATAAAAAAATGAATAACTTTTATTTGAAAGTTTTTTTCAATTTATCAACAGATGGCGCTGTAATTCAAAATTTAAGAAAAAGGGGTTTCCTTGTAAAATGTATTATTTGAAACATTTGAAAAACAAAAATTAACATTAAATCAACAATAGTCGGCTCTGAAAACAATTTATAACAAATGTTCGAAATGTCGTCCTTCCATTTCGACACCAAGTGGAGCACCAGCGTCCCTGGTCGGTAAACGTTTGGTGCGGTACCTTAAGCGAACGATTAATCGGACCCTTCTTTATTGACGGTGCATTAAATGGCGAAAAGTACCGGAATTTTCTAAAAAACGATCTGACGGACCTTTTGGAGGATGTACCACTAGCACGGCTCCAAAACATGTGGTACCAGCAAGATGGTTGTCCTGCACATTATTCGGCAATTGCTCGAGAGGTGTTGGATCGGGAGTTCAATGGCCGGTGCACCGCGGTGGATCGGTAGACGTGGTCCAGTAATTTGGCCTTATCGATCACCTGATCTTACGCCACCAGACTTCTTCCAGTGGGGTAACTTGAAAGAAAAAGTTTACGCTGCAATTCCTACAACTTGGGAGGACATGGTGGAGCGGATCAGGAACGCCTGTGCGGCGATACCGCCCGACATGTTGGCGCGTTGTGTGCCAGAATTCATTACCCGCATTCAAAAATGTGTTGAAATGGAATGACGACATTTCGAACATTTGTTATAAATTGTTTTCATAGCCGACTATTGTTGTAAATGTTAATTTTTGTTTTTCAAACGTTTTAAATAATACATTTTACAAGGAAACTCATTTTTCTTAAACTTTGAATTACAGCGCCATCTGTTGATAAATTGAAAAAAGTTTTAAATAAAAGTTATTTATTTTTTTAAGTACTACCAAACTCTGTGAAAAAAATCGGGTCATTCCATTTGACTTCCAAAGTTACCCCCCGTTTCACCCTTAAGGAGGGGTAGGGGGTGTCTAGCGGTAGCACCAAATAATGTCCCCTTTAGTCACATTAACCTCTTATTTAAGACATTTTTCCGTGAAATGCGTATTTCTCGAGATATTGAGCTATCTCAAGTTAAAAGAAACACCCTGTATAATAATAAATATTTAAAATAACTATTTAATTTATTTAAAATAACTATTTAAAACTTAGGTATAATAATTTATATAATAATAATAATTATTATTTTTTTATTTCTAAAATAACAAAAATAAAATTCTATTTTTTAACTCTGACAACTCATATACCTGCTTATCAAAACATAAATTTGTCATTTTTTGCTTAAAATAACCTCCCCCTACACCATGGCCCCCATAAGTGCCCTATTTTCGGTACATCTTGTATATTGGAACTTTACATTTCTTAATAATAAAATTTCTGAATAATGTATAAACTTAAACTCTATACCTCTAACATTAAAAATAAATAGTAAAAATGTCTGACTGTCTAACTTGTTTAGTAAGACAAGACTGCAACTTCTAATAAAATATACTATTTCCTACCTTAAACTTAAGTGTTAACTGAACTCCTTTTGTCAGATAAAATTTAAATATTACATATACACACAAAAATTTACTTTAAATGACCATTATCTTTATTCATATTTACGTATCACTTAAATAATTTATCTCTTAAGAATTAATGTTATAAATAATTTAAAATATTATAAGTGTGTAAATAAGGTTTATTTAATAAACACATATAGTAAATTAATTTTACTAAAATACCAAACAACAATTTTAACAATTGACGTGTTTCTCGGAAAAACATCATTAGTCCAAAATTAACATGTTTGGGAAAATGAAAAAAACTCTCCGACATTCCCATTTTTGACCAAAGTACTTTATTGACCTGTTTACTACATGTAAAAAAATGTAAGATACTTTGTCCAGAATTCCTCATGTTTTTTTTCGACGAATATGAAAAAAACACAAAAAATACATGAACATGTGAGGTTTTTAGAAGAAAAAAACGAACAATTCTCCTTACTACAAACACTACAAACTAAATATTAACTCTGAGTAACAAAATAAATGAAAAAACTAAAAACTGTATTACTGCCACACTCAGTCTTCGCATCCACTGCTGTTATCATCGTTGTCGACCGTGTTATCAAGACGGTCAGGTGCTATGGTCTTCTGGTCTTTTATCAAGTTATCATAAAATTTTCTATTGCTGTGGTCATGTAAAAGAGGTAGAAGCTTTTCTAGAGTGTCCAAAAACGTCACATGTTATGCACATGTGACTTTCTTAGACGAAACGGAGTGGACTTGTGATGTTTTTAGAAGAACAAGCTAAATTTCATATTTAATTATTATGGAACCTAGGTTCCATAGCTATGACATTTTTACGAGAAACATTTATTTGTATACGTATATATGGAGGTTAGGAAACAGTTGGTGCTAATATCTAAATTTCGACGATATTGGACTAATGATGTTTTTCCGAGAAACGCCTCAATTAAAATAATAATAAACTGTCATTTTTTAAATGTTAATTTTTATGGTTTTATTAATAAGCAAATAAACTGGAAGACCTTAAAAGGTTATTTAGTAGTAGAAACCAAAAAAGAACATATCTAAAATGAACAGAAAATTATTTTTCTTACTACCTCGGCCGAAAATACGTTGTTTCGTCCCCGATTCCACGGCAGAAAGTTTACGTTTGATGCATTGGTCAAATTTACGTTTGATGCATTGGAATCGGGGACGAAACAACGTATTTTCGAGTATATTACACTACAAGGGCTACGAAGGCTTCGCTCGTGCCGCAAATGTCGGGGCAGGCATCAATATGTTTCGATATACACATTTAATTTTTTCCCGTATTTTCTGCCGGGTTGGGCCGGGTTGGGTTGGGTTGTATATGCAGGAATCTCACACTTTCTGCCCTTGTAGTGTAATATACTATTTTAATCCCTTGATTTTTTGGTGTTTTTTTTTTTAAATTTACGACTTTACTTCCTATAAAAAATCTTTGAAAGCAACAAACCAATTAAAGCACGGCATTCTCCACAGCACACTAGGTGCGATGGAGAAGGCCTTGCTCTAATTGGTTTGTCGCTTTCCATGGATATAATTTTATATACAGTCGTTGCACCAAATGTTCGACATGCGAGCAGTAATGTTTTACGGGTCTTTTACATTCGATGCAACGGCAACTTTTCCCACGCGTATGTCTTCGAACATTAGTTTGTACAAAAACGCGCAATGAGTCATACGCAAACATTCGTGGCGGCGACTGTAAGTACTATGCGCCACACACAAAAGTCTCACCTTGACATTTAAATACAAATAAATGAGGTTATCTATCTGTCAGTTTAATGCTAATTTCCTCTTATTTTCTAAAAATAATACAATATATAATAAGCATAATTGCACGTATGCTCTTTGATATACCTAAATGTTTCGACTAAATGTACGACTTGCCGCTTTGGAGAAGGTTTACCATTTTTACTTAAAGTAAGATACAGCCATAAACCAGGTTGTATTGTGTATATCAGTAGTAGTAGTAGTAGTTAATTTGACACTTAAAAAATAAGCTTTATATTCTAAACCAAGAATACTACAATATAGTGTTCTTTAAATTTAAAATACAAAGTCAATATAATGACAACAAAGTGTGGCTTGCATTGACAAATTTTTGAAATGTTCGAAATTCCGTCTCCGCCACTGTTCATACATAGAAAGTAAAGTCGCAAATTTTAAGGAACACCGCCTGCCATAAATGCTTAGCGTGTTAATTTAAGAGACAAATTCAAAAAAAAAAATTGTAAAAATTGTAGATATTCCCCTTCAACTTTCAAACAATGCTCCGTATGTTGAGTCCACGGGGATTCACCAAGCATCCGTCAGCGGTGGGGTAAAAAATACAGACACAAAAAATGTGACTCAAGGGGATGTCTACCAACCTTCAACATCGAAATCTCCACCCGAAAACAGTGAAAACACAAACCCGGAAAATTCACAACCGACCACATCTCAGCAGTCAGCTCAATCTCAAGTTTTAAACGGTTTTACCAATGGGTTTAACCACAATAGACAAGGTAATAAATTTTGAATTTCAAATAAATATTTTGGTAATAAGTATTAAAAATTGCACTAATCTGCAAAATTAAAAAATAATCTCCTTTCGTTATATTTTTTTATAAAAAAAATGGTAGTTATAGTAGATTCACCGATAATATTGTTGTAGGTCATTCTAGAAACTCATCATTAGAATTAAGGGTGGGTCTATCTGCCAATTTTAGTCGTAGTTCTCAAGATTTGCGCGGTATTTCCAGTAGAGGGCACTCTAGGACTGCCTCGTTAGACTTGCGACACACTAGAAACTCATCGGCAGACTTAAACAAACTGATTAGAAACGATCTTGGTTTAGTTTTTAGCTCGACCAGTAAGTCTAGATGTTTGAAATTTTTGGAAAATAGTATATGTGTAATTTTTAGATTCTACCTGGGCAGATCCCTTAAGAGTACAAATTATCAAGGCGCATCACAATTGGATTGTGGCTGGATATGCCCACTTTGTTGTATGTTACAGGTATAGTTTTAATATAATAAAGTGATCCCAGTGAAAAGGTAAAACATTACATATCGATTTTTTTTTTAAATTATTGGACAATAAAGTCTACATGATATAAAATTATTGTTTTTAAACAAGTTTTAAATCGATTAAAATTAACAATTTCTCTCTCTTTTCTCTTTCTCACACCTCGGCAATTCGTACTACGTGATCGGCCTTGAAAGAAATTGGCTTACGTCATTGTACCTACTCTTTACTACTAACGTTGAGTGAAGAATTCTTTAATCAATAGTTTTAGTGCTTTGTATTATAGAGCGCCAGTGTAAACTGTCTAGAAAGACTTATTAACAGTAAGCCCTTTAAAAGTATGACATTTACTGAAAAACAAAATGTTATTAAGATTGTTAGATTTACCCCGGACTTACAAACTTTTCGATATTTTAATGAAAAAATCTATAACAACTATAAATGGCTCTGCGGGTGTAGTAATAAAAATGAAATGTGTTGTTGGCCATGCTTACTTTTGAGCCCATTTTAAATGGCACTGACGATCCCCAGCAATGACCCATAGTTTTCGAGTTAAAAGCGACAAACCAAAAAAAGAGTAGGGACTTGTAGTATGTTTATGGGTCGTCCATAAAGGAGGTAACGCCCAAGACAGAGATTCCAACCTGGGGCTTTGTTTTACTATTTTACCGGGACTTCCCTGGGGTCCCCTGAAACGTACTGGAGAGATTTTCCGCCAGTTTAGATTCACCCTGTATTTTTGGTAATTTGGTTATTTCACAAATTTTGTAACCACCTTTGGTATTGATCTATAATATTTATTATGGTTTTTGCAATAGACTCGAAATAATATAAGTGACTTGGTTCGAGAAAATGATTTACGAGATAATCATTATTTTAAGTAGAGTGGTGAAAGATCTTTTAAAGGGTCCAGATAAAATTTGTTCTTCTAAAAAATTGACATTGCTATTAATTTTTGTCGAGCACAAACGCCTATATCGCGCGAACTTCAATCGCCTCTTCTGTAAAATTTGATGATGCATGTCCCTTTTTTCGGATCGCGTTACATAGGTTAACCATTTCGCTGAAATCACCCAAAATTGCGCATTGTTTTGTTTAAATTGATATTTTGTTTAGATTAAAAGATTCCAGTGGATGGCAACAAGTTTTTACCAGCCCTTACATTGAAAGCTGCATAGAGAGGATAGCTATAAACGCTAAAATGGGCTCTAGTGAAACTTCTAAGATGGTAGCTATATCTTATGGTAGCCAGGTCAGGTTATGGGGAATATCCGACGGTGGCGCCAGAACTAATATTGGTATATACATATAATTTCTTAATGAACATTTTTAAAGATTGCGTTGTTTTCTATTTATTAAATTAGAAACAATTCTTTTAAATTCAACTTGAAACAAATAGTATGATATAAAATAAGTAAACTTGAAATTATAGATAAAACTGTCTATAAAAAATATTTTTGTAGGTACATTCAATTTGCACGTCAGGGTGGAATATTTATTTTTTATTGGCAGTCAATTGGTAGCACTGTCGCCTTCTGGTAAGCTAGGAGTTTGGCATGCCATGACTCAACATTGGCAAACTCAAGATGTCATGCCTATAGCATCCTTTGACACTGCCGGCTCCATATTGCTATTGGGCTGCAATAATGGCTGTATTTATTATATTGGTAAGTATGAAATACTCTAAAAACAATCTAAATTAATGGCTGTTCATATTGGTACTCATTCAAATGTCAAACAGGGCCTTTTGGGAGTGGAGCAATTATTGACTACTTTATATTTTTTTGTAGATATGCAAAAGTTTCCTTTGAGGATGAAAGATAATGATCTTTTGGTAACAGAATTATACAGAGATCCTAACAATGACACTGTTACAGCTATATCAGTGTACCTAACACCAAAAACCAGTGAGTCTTTTTATATATTTTTTTCTATAGATCAGCACCAAAATATATTCAATCACAATAATTGTAGCTTCATCTTAATTATTTCTTTATAAATACACTCTAAATACTCAACCAAAAGTATTTATTGTGTGTGCTATGTGTTTTTTGTTTGTTATTTCCTTGTAACAACGCCTTGTGTTTCATGCCAGCTTCAGAGAGAGGTCGGGAAGGTATGCCAGAAAAACATTTGAAGCTTACACGTTGTTTTTTTGATTCGTATTTTTGTAGTATTTTTTACACTTTGGCAAGAAATGAAAATCCATCAACTTTAAATCCAATTTTTGCTCAAACAATTTTTTTAATTGTACTTTTTTCAAAATTGTTTTTTAACGTTGATATTTTTTCCACAAAACAATATAAACTTAAATTAAAGCTTTAGATTTTGCAAAAACCTTTATTGACAAGTTGCAACTACAGTTTAATTTTAACACCTGATAATTTTAAAACACTTAAAATACCTATACTTTAGGTCCTATAAGCTAACCTAAGTATCTCAGTAGCCACACTGGCTGTGTGGAAGAAGTATGTGTCGGTAGCGCGACACATAGCCATCTGTTGAGCGGAGTTTGCAACTATGAGTACAAACGTCAATCAAATTGTTCATTAATTTCTGTATAACGATGGATTAGTGGCAATAACAAGTACCTATTAATATTTTTCTAGGATTTTAGGTCTATGTAATCGAATATAAAAAGTTATATTCAAAAGCCCTTTTTGCTTTTTAGTTCCACCCTTACTTCATAAGAAAAGCCAACTGAACGGCTGATCATGTTTATGATAGTGTTTGTACAAACATCGTCAAAATCTCTTTTTTCCGAAATTAATGAAATGTATTACCAATAATCCATTGATATTTTCTGACAATATAACAATATAAAAATAAAAGTTTAGTTAGAAAAATCTATAATTTTTCTATAACAAATCATTTTTGAATAAATTTTGCGTATAGTAGGTACTCATAATTACTTGATTTCGTCACCAGGTGGCGGCAAAATATAAAGCTCTATAGTCACGGCCAAATCTATATGGGTGCACGTCATCAATGAGATATAATGACGTCAGCATTACCAACTTTGAATTGTAAAGTTACTGCCGTTAAATTTGCTTTTTTAAGGCGTAATTCTGATGTGTTATTAAAAAGAAATCATTCATTTGCGTTTTGTTTACCAAGAACTGTAACAATTTCCTTGTTTTAAAACGTTTTTTCACGAAATTATCAAAATAAAACCATTCACTTAGTAATTTTTGTGTGTGCCAGTTGGTAATAGCTTAAGGCTGGCGCGCACCGTTCAATATTATTGATGGGTCGCTGTCATTTTATATTTGACGTATTTTTGTAATTGTGACATTTCGTCCGGAAGCATCGTTTGTTGCAAATTATTATAAATAATATTATACATTATGTTTATAAGATTCTATCCCTGGATTGTGCAAACAATGATATAAGGCTTGTTGGCAACTAGCCGTTATTAGATTTCGAAGACATTGCGCCCTTAATAATAAATTTGGGGAAATAATCAGACTTCAATTCTGACCTGGTTTGCTCTGATGACAAGGACGACTGGTAATTTATATATTTTGTGCTTCTGATAATTTAGAATTTTTTTGTTATGTGCATATGTAATAAAAATGTAATAAACTCCGTTTGTTTTCTCTTTAAACACATTTAATAAAAATTTGCCTGTAACAAACTCCTAATTAGTTAGTGCAGAAGATTATAACAAGGACGTTATAATTCCATCTTAATAACAGACCCCACCGCTATAAACAGTCAACAATACACGAGCGTTAGATTGTGTCTGGGCACGTATGAATAGACCTTAACGCTGACGTCATATGCCGTTGATGACGTGCACCCATACAGATTTGGCCGTGACTATAGACTGAAGCACAAAAATCACTTTGGTTGGCTGGTATGTCAACACAAGGACATTAAAGCTGCCAGTCTTTTAATTAGTGTCGGTACTTATACAGAATTAATCCATAAATGTACTCCCCTTAAATGATCTGCATGTTTAAAAAAAGTTTGTCCTTTATTGTTCTTTATAATATCCATTTTGAAAATATGTACATTAGGGTGAGCCAAAAAAACTAACCTATCGGATTTATGGGTTAAAATGAACCTACATACTAGGGGTGTCAATCCCGAGCCCATTTTCCAATCCCGGGCCTTTCGGGACCAAAGGTAACAAATCCCGGGATCCCGGGATCAGTCCCGAAAAAATATATATCATTAATTTTAAAACCAATTTAAAATAAAACAACACACAAACTAACGAATGATATCTTTCGAACTTCACACTAGTCGGAAGAATGGTTTTCAAGAATTCGTAGGCACATTGTACCTACGTTTACTTCCATTAACAAATAATTCCATTTCTTTTATCAATCGGGCTTTGGTGAGTTCCAATTGGGGCTGTAACTTACATTGAAATTATTAAGTTTGTGACATTTTTTCAGGTTTGACGTTTGAAATATGTTATATTATAGGTTATGTACAATTGGCGTCTCCGAAATGTGAACGATTTTTTGTTGTCATGGATTTTTTTCATAAAATTTATTCGTTCATTCCTGGCTTCGGCCAGTGGTGTTACATATAGAAGGGAGAATACTAAGAATAAGAACAATATCCTAAATCGTTCTATTTTTTTAATAATATTTTAACAAACAATAATATAAACAATATAACAAATAAATTAACTTTAATTTGGTTTTATACAACAATATAAATTAACAAGTAGGTAAATACACAATAAAAATAACATAACTAAATTAACATATTGCTCAAGAAAATTGGTTTTTAAGTGAAATAGCGGCAGATTTAAATGTCAGTAAAAGCTGCATATTTTATATCAAAAAACGTTGGCAAAAACAACAAAGATTGAGAAGACCTATCAGGCAAGGTGTAGGTAAAATCTCCAACGAAAATGAAGACAATGCTCTTGTCGCACTTATTAGGCAAAATCCTTTCAATAGCGCATTTAAGGCCCAAGAAGATACACAATTTCCAGGATCTCTTCGAACAGCTCAAAAAAGATTGAAACAAGCTGGCTTAAAAAACTGTGCTGCTAAGCTATTTTAATACTTAATTAAAGAGCCATTAGCTGCCACAACCCTTTGCAACCTTCTTGGCATGGACATTATTAGCTCACGCATGTCGTATGAATCAGCAAGCTCATCCCAAGAATTTTCAACAGCACTCCATAGTTCATCTCGGTTTGCTGGCCTAAAGTCCCGTTGATATATATTGTTAACTATAAAACCCCACACGTTTTCAATGGGGTTTAAGTCAGGGCTTCTAGCTGGCCATGGCAAAACAGTTATGTGGTTGTTGTTTACCCACTCTGTAACCACGCGAGCTGTGTGAACTGGTGCATTGTCCTGTAATATAATATTTATTAGAATCGTTTTTGAATACTATACAGTTTTCTTACATGTTGAAATATAAAGTTTTCTGGAAACACATGTCTAACTGAAGGTAGCATAACGTTGTCCAAAATCCTGGTATAGTGCTCAGCCGTTAATCTACCATCAATTTCCCAACATACTCCCGGACCATGGATGCTTATCCACGCCCAAACATTTATGGAAAAGCGTCCACTATTTGAGGTTTTTAATGTATAGTTCTCCTCAAATCTTGCGTTTCTTGGACGATATACACGCAGCCTTCCATTACACAGTGCAACACACAAATTTAGGACTCAGTTTTGATTTTTTTTTCTGAAAGTACTTGCCAAAACTAGAACTTCTGCATCATTACTTTTGCCAAGTTGGTTCGGAATAAGAGAAATAAATTCAAAACAGTTTTTTGGCTCAAACTGGATTTTAAGCAATTTTTCGATATTTTGACACGGCTATATCTCGTAAACCGACGGAGATATTTTTTTTGTGTCTGGAGCAAATTTGTAGGTATTGAATGGGAGAAAAAAATGCAAAACAAACTTACCCGAAAAAAATGCATCTGGTGTCTCAAAATCGCAAAAATGCCCATTTTTCTCCATTTTTTTAAAACTTTCAATATTACACATCTACAAATATATTGTTTTTTTATTTTTAACTTTACTTCGAATCATACAAATGTTTTTTAATTCATTTTATACCTATTTTTACATAGAAAATATAAGTTTATGGCTGTTATGTATTTATGAAAAAGAGATAAAAATATGTTAATTGTAGACATCCATCGAACTTGACGACTCTGGCTCTGATAATTTTAATCTTTTCGTGGGTTGGTCACCTGAGTCTTCTGAAGATAAAGGATTCAATGGCATATCTATTTCTGTGTGACCCTCGTATCTTGTGAGATCTGAGTCTTCGGTGCCTTCATCTTCATATTCGCTTATTTTACTTGTCCACCAACATACTTCTGCAAGCAATGCATCCAGTTTTTTTCCCTTGAATCGCTTTTCCATTGGCATGGTGACCTGGTGGAAACGCTCACCTTGTTTGTCCGATTCTTGGGGCAATTGTTGCAAAAACATATCAAGGTGAAAATGTAAAAAATGTAATTTTAACGTCATAGATGCATTAATTTTTTCGTAAAAATACAATAAAGCATCAACTCTTCTCTTTATCTCGTCTGACTGTATACGATTCTTCCCCAAAACGCCCTCGATTATTGCTTTTAATGCGTTCCATGCATGCAGGTGATTGTTTGTTAGTATGTTTGTGAAGGCTTCACTTTTCATTAATTTTCGTATATCCGGTCCATTGAGCACACCTGTTCAAAATGAAAAAAAAAAATTAGCAAAGCGAATAGAGACAAATAAAAATATTAAAAAAATTATATAGACAATAACACATACCAGCTCTAATTTTATCATTGCTGAGTTTTGGAAAGATGGTTTTCAAACATTCAAAGGCGCCATTAACATCTTTGACCAAAACTTCGATGAGTTTCCCAGAGATTCCCAATTTTATATGGAGCGGTGGCAGCAATATATCAGCAATATCCTGTATCATTGGTTCATTGTGTAATCTCAATTGTTCTTGGTTATCGGAAGTTCTTAGTATCCAATCTTTACATTGATATTGATTTCCTCTGTATCGCGAATCCCAATTACAAAGAAAGCAAAAGTATTTCGGAAAACCGCCCTTTTCTATGACACCTTGCAATATGTTCACAACTTTTAGGTCGCAACAAATCTTCCATTTTTGTTCTTCGTACTTGATTTTATTCAATATTGCGCCCAATGTTTCATACGTTTCCTTCTTGTTTATGCCGAATCCAATTGGAATGGATGGTTTTTTGTTTGTTATGTGCAACAGCACAGCTTTCAAACTGGAAACTGATCTATCGATGAATAATCGCCAATCGTTAGCGTTATACTCCATTCCCAATTTATTTATCAAACCTGGAATATCATGGCAGTAAGCGAACGTATTTTCATCGTTAACAGTGTAAAATATCTGGAAATCAGCTTGGCGTTTCCGGTACGATGTGGCGTTAACCCCTTGCTGTGTGAGTTTTCTGCTCTTCAAAAATGAGGTCAACCATTCCGAATTTCGTTGCGATGCTCCCATCCTAGCCACAATGTAGTCCATTTCGCTTTGTGTTAGCGGTTGTGGTCCATCATCTTCAAAATCGGGTTCCCATTCTACATCTGCCACATTGGTCGGGTTGGTGAAAATTGTTTCAGCTCGCTGGGACCCATGGGGGGACAACGAAGTCGGAGGTTTAGGTAGTTTGTCACCTTTCTGGCGTAGCAATGGAAGTACGGCAGTAAAAGCAGGAACATATACTTTTGTTTTCAACTTTCTTCTGTTCATTCCCTGAGTAAAATTAATGCATGAGTAACACCTGGATACATCGTGCCCGGTTGGGTCTTTAATCCAAATTATTGGCTTTACATAAGGCAACTGTGCTCCTTTTTTATGTATCCAATTCACAAGAGTGTTATAGCACATTTTGCACACCGTGTTCGGCGTAAAATCTTCACCACTTGAATCAGTTTCATTGAAATAATGCTCATATGCTTTTGTGAAATCCGCACTAAACAAACTTTTTAGCTCCTTTTCTTCTTTTTTTAGCACCATATGACCACAAACGTAACAAAAATTATTTATTTTTGGGCACTTGCTGTTTTCCATACTGAAATTTCAATGTTTATTTGCTTTTAAAATGTTATTCACTCAAAATTATATCTCGTTGCACAAAACACGCTTGATAAACAAATGAAGCAGCAGGGTTGCAAAAAATGCATTAAAAAGATAATTATTTTTATAGGTTTTTATTCCGGTCTACAATTAACATATTTTTATCTCTTTTTCATAAATACCTACATAACATCCATAAACTTATATTTTCTATGTAAAAATAGGTATAAAATGAATTGAAAAACATTTGTATGATACGAAATAAAGTTAAAAATAGAAAAACAACATATTTGTAGATGTGTAGCCGAGTAATTGTCGAAAAATGTTGAAAAATAGTTTTAAAAAATGGTGAAAAATAAGCATTTTTGCTATTTTAAGGCACCAGATGCATTTTTTTCGGGTAAGTTTGTTTTGCATTTTTTTCTCCCATTCAATACCTACCACTTTGCTCCAGACACAAAAAAATATCTCCGTTGGTTTACGAGATATAGCTGTGTCAAAATATCGAAAAATTGCTCAAAATCCAGGTTGAGCCAAAAAACGGTTCTGAATTTATTTCTCTTATTCCGAACTAACTTGGCAAAAGTAATGATGCAGAAGTTCCAGTTTTAGCAAGTACTTTCAGAAAAAAAAATCAAAACTAAGTCCTAAATCGATGACCTTAAAAATGTTGCACAGTGTTATTGCAAGATTGGAACGTTTTTTCATCCGAAAATATAACATTATTCCAAAAATCTTCTCCATAATTTAAATAGTCATTGGCGAACTGGACTCTCCTGCGCTTATTTTCTTCAGTTAAAAAAACCTTATGAGCAGCAACACAGTTTTTTAAACCAGCTTGTTTCAATCTTTTTTGAGCTGTTCGAAGAGATCCTGGAAATTGTGTATCTTCTCGGGCCTTAACTGCGCTATTGAAAGGATTTTGCCTAATATGTGCGACAAGAGCATTGTCTTCATTTTCGTTGGAGATTTTTCCTACACCTTGCCTGATAGGTCTTCTTAATCTTTGTTGTTCTTGCCAATGTTTTTTGATATAAAATATGCAGCTTTTACTGACATTTAAATCTGCAGCTACTTCACTTAAAGACCAATTTTCTTCTAATTTGGCTATTGCCCTGGACCTCTGAGCCTCGGTTAAGTGGGGTGGCATTTTTAATATTGCAATTGACAACTATTATCAAATTTGACAACTACCGACGACACTGATGCAAAGCCCATATTACACGATTAAATTTTGCCGTTCACATTTCGGGGACGCCAATTGTACATAAATTTATTCTACAGTGACCTGTAATTTTACATTTTCTTTGCTGATTTTATGCTATAGATGGAACCACTCTTGCTATGTAATTTCAATGTATTTTCATTATTGTATGGTGGTGTATAATAATTTGACTTGAACTGAGTAAAAAAATGAAGTGTTTATATATATGCTTATGAGTATTATAATATGAAAAATGTCATACCCTTAAAAAAAAGTCTATTTTATTCTTTGTAACTTATTACTAAAATCCCGGGATTGGGACTTTTAATCCCGGGATTTTCGGGATCGGTTTTTTTACGGGATCCCGGGACCCCGGGATTTCGGGATCCCGGGATTGACACCCCTACTACATACCGAGCAAAAAATTTCCCTGCAAGGCAAATTTTTTTGCTCAATTTTAAAAGGTGTCGGTGAGCATTCTAAGTTTTCCATTGAAATCACACGTAAAAAAATCTTTTTTCATTAAAAAGACTATAACTTTTGAACCGTTTGAGATAAAATTTTTTACGTCGCGGATTCTTGTAGAGCATAAAATTTCCCAAAGAATCTATACCAGGATTATTTTTTTTAATTCAAAAATTCGTATGTTTGAAAGCTTTGAAAAGAGTAAAAAAATCACGTGTTATTTCAATGGAAAACTTAGAATGCTCACCGACACCTTTTAAAATTAAGCAAAAAATTTTGCCTTGCAGGGAAATTTTTTGCTCGGTATGTAGGTTCATTTTAACCCATAACTCCGATAGGTTAGTTTTTTTGGCTCACCCTAATGTACATATATAAATTTATTTAGAGCAGAAAAAACTATAAACAACAGCATGTATATTTCTCATAAAGGGATTAGGCATCCTTAAGGTTTTCTCTTGCATAACCCCTAAATTACCTTGACGTTAAAAAAAAAATAAAAAACAGTAAAAAAAATCTACTAATTATTTTTTTACTTAAAATCTTACTCACATAATAACAATTTATATAAATAAAATACTACTATTGAGTAATAAACCATACTACCTACCTAGTCTTAAAAATAACTTGATAAAATTGCCAATTGCTGCAAATAAAAATTAAGTAGTTTTTGAGTTATTAAGCGTATAAGTTTATAAAACCTGCCAAGATATTACATATACAAAAACGGTTGTTGTAAAAACAATTTGTGTCAAATAATATAACTTTTTATATACTGGGTGTCCGGAAAATGACGAACCTACCAAGTAGTATATTTTAAGTATAAAAAAAATTACAATTTTTTTTCTAAGAAATATTTTTTGTTTAAATTTTTTAGGAATATTTAATTAAATAAAAGGATTAAATAGAATTTTATAATGATAATGATAAAATAAAAAGTTAAAATTTGTTAATTATAACAAAGTTATGATTATTTAAAGTTTGGGCCTAGGCGTTTGGGTTTTGGTCTAGAAGTTTTCTGACTGAAACTGACCTACAACGTGGCTTACCGAAGGAGTGCCATTTTCCGGACACCCTGTATATATATAGTCGATTTTTGCCAAAAAAGATATTATGTAAAATGTCAATTTCTAAAGGATTTAATTTATTGTTGAAAAAAAATTATCATAACATTTAAAGTTACATTGAAAAAAATTTTGTGATTTTATACAAAAAGGTAGGCACCCTAGGCCAATCCCTTAAACAAAATGTTTAAAACTTAAAATTCTGTGTAAATATCTGCATTTAACGTATTTCTGTTTATTTCGCATCCATCTAGGTGTCGTTTGAAGACTGGCTTATTTTGTAATTAGCTCATTTTGTAATCTGAAAGTAGAACGATGCTTTTCGTTTACACAATGAGCAAGACTGAAAATTTCATTGTGTTTTTTTATGTCACAATCAGATTTGTGCGGCAACTGGATCGAAATCGCGTATGGTACCACTTCGGGGGCTGTAAGGGTCATAGTTCAGCACCCGGAGACTGTAGGGCACGGTCCCCAGCTGTTTCAAACGTTTACTGTACATCAGAGTAAAGTGATCAAGGTAAAGTTAATTATTTAACAAGTATGGGTGTTTTTTAAGTAAACCAAAAATTTATTTCGAAAATGTTGTCAGTGAACAACCAAAAAATGGAAATCCTAAAAAAATGACCATGTTCCGTAAATTACATTACCGCACAGTGGGCTGGATCAATAATTTGTCTGGACAAAATTAATTACCACCTTAAAAGTGTGAAAATGTAAATTAAATAATAGATTTAAATTTTTATTTAAAAAGTTATCCAAACACATTTCTGCTTAATACATTTTTTATATTCTACATGTAAACTTTCCATTTCCATTTCCTGATATTTATTTTTATTTTGGGTCCATTAAAAGAAGCATTCCTTATTTTTTTCAAATTTTTCTAATTACATATACTGGGTGTCCCAGAACTCGCGCCACAGAGAAAAAAGGGGCGTGCCGATAGCAATGGAGATGCCAAATTTAAAAATAAAAAATTTCTAGGTAATAGTGTAATCGAATGAGAGCAAAAAAGCGGCAGCCAATACCGAGAGATCTCGCCTAGGTTAAAGGTAGGAGCTTTAAAAATTGCTAGGAGACGATAGAACATTGTTGTATTAAAAACATTTAAAAATCTTTTGGCCAACTGTATTTACTAAGTTGTCAAAAGCTTTCAAAAAATGAGGTTATTAATCTATGACTGATACTTCAGAACGCCAATGTTTTAAAGTAAAAAATCAAACCAGTTGTATAATTAATTGTTTCGACTTTTACTTGATGAAACTCCATAAAAGTGCTCTTTTAGTTCCACCCTTACTTCTTAAGAAGTCCCATAAGCCAACTGAATGGCTTGTGCGGGTTAGGGGTAGGAACGGACCGCGGGCTTAAAGTCCCCTCCGAAGGACTAATACACAATAGGACAAACACAAATAAACAGCCATACCCCTGGTGGGATTCGAACCCACGACCTCCGGCTTGTAGTCAGCTGCACTAACCACTCGACCACCGTCGGCATGTTAATATTGTTTTATTTTAATATAAACTACACTGTTTAAAAGTTTCACTATTTTATTTAAATATGACAAATGTTTCGCTACACAGTAGCATCTTCAGATCGTGAAGATGCTACTGTGTAGCGAAACAATTGTCATATTTAAATAAAATAGTGAAACTTTTAAACAGTGTAGTTTATATTAAAATAAAACAATATAAACCAGTTGTACTTTATTTAGCTTTTTTTGGGCCCACGCTCCCCATAAATAGTTATCATTTCGGTATAATCATCAAGGAATAGTAATTTACGTTACAAGGCCGGGAAATGGCTTATTAAAGTACGAGTCTAGATGTTTTCGGACGAGGCGACGAAGGAGCCGAGTCTGGAATTTCTAGTAGACAAGAGCATTGTCAATAATAACTTAATTTATAACCTAATATAATATTAATGACAGGAGTAAAGATTGACAGCAGTTTTACAATGAATTAAATTCCAGTGGACCAAATATTTTACATATTTTTTATTATCAACAATGCAACCTAAGTATCCTAGCAATTTAAAGAATTCCCTGTGGTGATCTATTGGGATTGGCTATCGTTTTTTATTCTTATCTCCCTTATCTTTTGCGTTGGACAATTTTTAAATATGTGTTTCAAATTACTTTTGGTACGTTCCCTTTTTCTCTGTGGCGCGAGTTCTGGGACACCCTGTATAGGTACTACTGGTTCATAAGATATGATTTTTTTAAATTTATTTTTAAATGGCTTTTGGACAAACAGGAATTTTAAAAAAGTACCATGTACCATAAAAAATTAAAATCGTTTACATGAGTCACTTTTTTCGATTTTTCAATTAAAATTTTGATTTTCGTAGTGTATGTAAAAATTGTGAAAAAAATACATAAAAAACTTTTGCCAATTCAATCAGTCAAGTTGCCCCCCCAAATCGTTCAAACCCCCTTTATGATACATTGAACTGAAGCTTGTTCCAGTTTCGAACATCTTTCACAAAAGATTTTTCCGTCATATTCGGTTAAATCACTTAATAACCCTAATAATGTATGCGTTTATTTTTTATGTAAATATTAAATATTTTTATCCGTAATTTTACCATCATTTCTTACTGTGCGCAGTAAGAAAAAATTACAGAATATTACGTTGACCACAGAATAGCTAACGTTTTATTCTGTAAAATATTTACCTTTTACAGAATATATTCGGTAAAATCACTCAATAACCGTTATAATTTATGCGTTTATTTGAAACAACATATTTTTTATGTAAATATTACATATTTTTATCCGTAATCAGTGGCGTAACTACCTCCGGTCCTACCGGTTTCAAAGACCGGGGCCCCGAGCACCAAGGGGCCCCCAGAAGTGGCAAGAGAAATTTTGTTTTTATCTAAATATAAGAAAAATGTTTAATATGAAAAAGTAAAAATTTTGTTTGTAGTAATAAATATTCGTTGCCTGTTTGATATTAAATTCCTATTGTGTTCTTTTTTTTTCAAATTTCTGAACTCAAAATTTGGAATTAAATATTTTGAAATAAACATAGGTTAATTTTGAATTTCTATCTATCTAGAATCATAAACTCGAAATAGAATACCTACTTCACATTGAAAGTCTGAAATTTTGAATAGGAAATATACATTCTTAGTCAAAAATAGAAATTCAGAGATGAAAAAATAAAAATGAAAAATTTGCAATCTAAAATAAGAAATTTTCGATATCACATTTACGATAAGAATAAAATGTTTTACGTGAATAACACTTGATCCTTTTTTTTCAACATCATTTTTATCCGTACCTTGAATAATACATCACTTCAAAATCCTGAGCCATGAATATTAGTGGGGAAGGCGGGGGGGTTTGAAGTTGGAAAAGTTTAAATGATTCAAACAAATTTTCTGGTAAGGGCCCCCTAGTGAAAATCCGACTTACGCCACTGTCCGTAATTTTACCATCATTTCTTACTGTGCACATGTGCATGCACGGTTTATTATTGCAAAATCGTGTTGTAAATATTGGAAAAAATGTATGTGCAACTTCTATAAGTGCATAAGTAAAAAAAAAAACACGCCTATGTATTTTTAGCAACTTTATTATTTTATAAATTTTTGAGATAAACAAATCATTTTTTTGGACCTATGATGTATAAAAGGGTGCATTGAAAATAGTATCTAGCATAAAAATAAATTGTATTATTACCTTTTAAAAATAAAATGCAGTCACTTTAGGAAAGCCTATTTTTCAAATTAAAAAAGAATGCCCTAATATATTTTTGTTTTACTTAAAAAGGAACACTGTAACAATTTTTTAAGGTTACTCTTTCTGAAAAATACCTGGTTTCCGTGTGCTCCGAGTACAATCATGTGAGAAGTTGGCGCGTGACCAGGTTCAGAGGAATGCTCTCCACTCAGCCGGGTTCGACTCCCGAAGCCTCGTTCAAGATAGTGGCGCTCGAGGCGGTCGAACCTGCTATCAGTCATTCCGTCGCTAACGATTGCGGACCTTTTGGCGAACAAGACGATGAACAGGTCTTCATTCAGAAGGTCGTTCCGGACGCTGACCATTTGTTTGTTAGACTGGCTAGCAACGGGAAACGGTAAGAAGTTTTTGTGAAATATTTTTTACCTGTTTAACTTTGTTTTTTAGCGTGTGTATCATCAAAGCGGTAGATGGCAGTACAGTCAGTTCGTTTTGCGTACACGAATGCGAAGGTTCAAGTAGAATGGGTTCCAGACCAAGAAGGTTTATATTTACTGGACACTCAAACGGTTCAATTCAGATGTGGGATTTGACAACTGCATTGGATCTCTCTTACAAGACTGATTTAGGTGGGTAACAAGGCTAAATAGTGGAAAAACATTTTTTCCTGAACTTGATTTACTTTTAGTTGAAAAAACGAACGGCGGGCCCTCTACAGGCGAGTTGCTCCGTATGTTGGACACCTGTGACATCAGCAACAGTTTGTGTTCGACTCCATGTATGTCGCCATCTCCAATGCTGGTGGCACAGGCCAGATTGAAGGCCAGTAACGTGGCTTTTTTGAATCAACAGAATAACACGGACTGCTCAAATTCCACGTAGAGTAAACTTTTTATAGACAATGAAAAAAAAAAGCAGTAAACCAATCGGAGCACAGCATTCTCTATCGCACCTAGTATGCTGTTAAGAATGCCGTGCGCTGATTGATTTATTGTTTTCTATAGAAATTAATGTCTTAAATATCAGGCATGATTTTTAAGATATACTCTGATGTGGTTAATTCTTATTTATTGATGAAATTAAAAAAAAATACTTTTCAGAATTTATTGTTTTAAATGTATTAGACAAACTTGCCAATATTATTATTGTTTTGTTAAGATAAAGATCTGATTTTTTTTTAATAGTAGTTTTTTTATTTAAATACAGCTAAAATTTGGATACATTTGTGGAAATCAAAATTATAATTATTTAAAAAAATTGTGATAAATCGCTGCTGTAGTAGGTATTCTATTAATTAAATAAAAAGTTTATTTATATTTTGTGTTATTAAATAAAATAATAGTATATTGTAGTAAAATGTATTTGTATCAGTTAATTGACTTTTAATTACAAAGAGTTAACAGATTTATAAAATTATTGTACATTAATTAACAACTCAAAATATACAATAATTTTTAGAGGCAGTGTTGTTTAGTAATATAAAGTCTCATGACTTATAAAACAAACTTTTAATGAAATCGAACAACAATAAATTATTACCAACTTCTAAATCATGCCAAGGTTTGTCATTGTAATACCACTTTGGTTCTGTCAACGGTTTCAGGAGGTAACTCCATAATACTAATCCAAGAATGTATAGAAGTATGATAAATATTTTCTTGTTTCTTTTGTAAGTTGTTACTTCTACAATATCGGGGAAGCCCATGTGATTACAATAAGCATGTACAATAAAAACTGACGCAAAATGACCAGTTCTTAGTAGTAAGTACGCCGAATATATCCCAAACAAGGTGGTGTATAAAAATTGAAAACCTAGAAAAAAGAATTTGAAAAATATACAATAAAAAAGTTTTTACGGACTCCTTTTCTCCCATATCCTATATTATATACTTACAGGATATTTGAATGGCCGTCTTAAAATCTGTTCCATACTTAAGTCTTTCTTGAAGATGATGAAAGTGTGCAACTCCAAATAAAAGTGGACTTAAAATGACTGCTGCAGTTGATGAAAAACTTTGAAGCAGTAGAGGCAACATACAACTTCTGTATGTAAACTCTTCAGATAATGGAGCGACCACGTGATTTCTTAACCATATCAAGTTTGTTAGGTTTGACATCCAATAATTCTGTTCTAAAAATTATTTTCTTAAATAAAAAATTCGGAGTTGTTTTTGTGTAACAACCTGTATATACTTTTGATAGACCGCTAAGTAATTCCATAGCTATAGGTCCTAGGAATAGAATCATTGTCAAAAATAAAGGCATAATTATTGCCTGACATAGTCCTAAAGTTTTCAGTCCAAGAATCTCAAAAAGAGTATACTAAAAAATATTAAATTAATAATTATTATAGTAATAAGAAATTGCTACCAAGGTAATTTTTTTTTACCTTATTTAAATATTCCTTATTTAATCCAATATATAAAATACATGGTGAAATAAATAACATACAAAATACGCTAACAAATCGCTTTTTTATTGTTACAGGGTGGTCCCTAAAAATAATGAAAAATATATAATTTACAGAAAATTAAATAGTAGGTGTAAACATTGTTTTTAAACTCCTATTGCATATTATTGACATTATTAAATTAATGGTAATCATTACAACCGCTCCGCCTAACAACGGGAATAACTCATTATTCACTTTGTTAGGCATCAGTGATTGGCTGATTTCAATATTTAGTGTATGATTTGAACCAATAGGGTTTTATATTGGGAAAGAGGAAGGTTAAAACTTTCTTACAGATGTCAAAAATTACTTACTAAAAACTTTTTTATTGAACTGATAAAAACATAGTGATGGTAACACTGTAGATTACATGTAATTGCAATGAGGGCAGGTTCACAAGCACAAAATCTTTATTTTTTATAAATTAGAGAAACATTAGATTTTTTTAAATAATTAAATCGTTATTAATTAAAAGACCTTTTGAACAAGGTATCACTAGACCTATAGTGCCATTGAAAATTTTGAGGTAGATTGAGTTAAAAAGTGCCTTGTTTTGGTTACCCCTTTAAACCCTTGAAACAGGTTTTTCAAATTTTATTTATCGTTTATTATCCTTTTAAAGATATAGGCCATTGACAGTTTTTGGTGGGACACACTGTACATATCAGTTTATAGACTTTTGCGATACCGATTTTAAAGATCGATATATATATATATATATATATATATATCTATAGATATATTGGCCGATAAATATATTTATATGTATCGGTCTATCGGCTTTTAATATTGGTCAGGTGATTCCTAATAAAAATTACAAATTCGCCATTTTTACGATATCTAAAAAACTAAACATGTCAAATTTATTATCTATGAATTTATTTTTATATCATTGATTGACATAAAATGTGCAATTTTTTAAATTTAAGCAACCATGTATCTCCAAAGATAAACGGAATACCCATTCTTAGCCTCAAAAACGGACACCCTGTTTATTTAATAAATTTAGAATATTTGAGTCGACTAATTTCAAAAGCGGCCATCTCCTTTGAAGAATATTTTAAGTAAACGGCAAAAAACCATTCTAAACAGTAATGGGTAAAAAATAAATATATTTTGAAAAACTTGTTCATATGGTAACTAAAAATATTTTTTACACAAAATAAGTAACCAGATTTAAGTTTCAATTGAAAAAAACATATATTTCAAAGGGATATACATACATTTTTTTACTTAAAACATCAAAGGAGATGGCCGGTATTGAAACTAAAATAAAACTTTAATGAATTATTTTCCATTTTCCATTTTTGTTCGGATATAATTTTGCACTAATATAATACGTAATATTTCGATTTGTTTGGTGTAAATAACTCATTTTAAAAAAATGGCCACTTTTGAAACCAGACGACTCCTTTATCCATTTTTTTTTTCATTCTACAGCTCTGGCAGGGGGCGATCGTCCCCATCGACCCCCTGTTACAGTATTTGCCCCTGTGTGGACTGTTGAGCATTGTACATAATATTTTTGAAAAAAAAATGATTTTAGTAGAATAATGTAGGTATTATCAACAATAAATTGCAGAATAAATTTATTTTCAAGAAAGCATTACTAAAAAATTAACATTTGTCAATGCAAGGCCTTTGTTTTGCAAAAATTTTGTACAATTCTGATCCTTGGTAAATTCAGGGGCAACTGCAAAAAGCTTTAGAAGTTAGGGTACACCCATATCTTATTTCCCACAGAACTGTGTCAGGGTAAATTTAGAAGAGGAATTATTTTCTGAAAATAGGTAACCCCATAGAGAAAGGGTATGGGTATACCATAGAAAAAGGTAGGTATAACTTATATAAAAACAGGGAGGTATATTTTTTTTCTATGGGTATTTCCTAAAATTTGTTATAGGTATGACATCAATAGAAAATGATCTACCTATATAAAAAGAAATAAATCAATCTCAATAGCACCTAATGGAACCAGGCTGGTTTATGTATAAGAGAACATTTTCTATAGTGAAGTTGAAATTTCAACTTCACTATATAAAAAGTTTAAACTTCAAGAAACACCTTCAAAAGTAGCAATGGCAAATGAATAGGTGGTAAAGTCTGTTTTTTAAACAGTTTAAATATTTAGATAAAATAGTGGGTTAAGTGAATTAATTGGCAATTGTAAATACAATATAATAACTAGTCCGTTCTCCATAAACGGTGAACTGCACGTATTAGGTAAGTAGTAGGTGAATTACGGTGCGTGAGGTGAGCGGGACGAAAATTGCAGATATTCATGGGCTTTAATGAAATCCCTGGCATGTGAATATATTTAAAAAAAAAAACTAATCTCACCTATTGTATTGACTGTTCCATATGTAGAGGCTTCCTATGTACAATAACGATAGAAAAAAACACAGCCCAAAAGAAATAAAACAATTGAATATCACATTGAAATGCTGCTCCATTCTGACATTTTAGACGTCACGTGTTACTCTTGCGCCGCAACGATTGGTCGAAGAGTTTAGCCTTGCGCATGTCTGTTGCTGGCTACGGAACTGTACCGACGAAAAAATGGCTGCCTGTGGAAGTCCAAGTGTCTCCTTTGTTTAGGACTTGGTTTTTAAAGTGTGTGTGTAGTTATTAAGATGCCGAGTGCATCTTTTACGGCCTCTCGGTCGTATGTAAGAAGATCCCGCAGAAAAGGAGTCAACAGAATACCTACGCCTTCAAGAACTACGTCTGGTAAGTCGGACTGGACGTCCTGTGAAACTTTTTGGGTCCGACCCGATTTTATTGTAGTGTAGACTTAATTGCAATTAACTTGAAGAGAAATCTACATAGTTTTGTGATTCTTTGCAAATCTTCTAACGATCCTAATGCACCATTTGCTGCTGTACTAAATACAAGGTTCTAGTTTATCATCTGTAAGAATAATGAAGCATAAGAATACATAAAAATAACAGGGCATTGCAGCCTACATAACAGATAAGCATTCCCAAATAAAAGCAACTAAATTATTAACGATAACTGTACATTTTTTTATTGAAAGAACACCAAAAATATAGAATTGATGTATGCAAGCACTCCCAAATTGGATTTAATGCACTTAATTAAAATATTTTGTTGGTTCACCTTCCTAACTATTAAAATTATTCACACATCCCGTTTTTATAATCAATACCAAGTTTATTATGAAACACATTAAATTGTTTTTATTATTATCCTCATACTTTATGTGCACAGATTATTATGTGATATAAATAAACAATTTGACGTTTATTTTGACGTTTGTCATCTGACGTTTATTGACATTTTACTGTAATGAATATTGGTGAGCTATAAAGAATTATTTAGGTTTTAATTTTAATTTATGAATAATTATTCTTTTTCATTAATAAAAGTCTGGAACTAAATCATTACCTAGTAAATTTATTCAAAGCATTACCTAAAACGAATTTCAATCCAATAAACAGAAATCTGTCTCACTATGCTGCATAGTCTATGCATACATAATGTATTTCTAATTTAATATTATAATTTATTTACTATACTTTGAAGTTTACTATTTGCTTTATCTATGTAAACAAACTATACAATTTTTATTTACTTTAAAATGTTGAAAAGCATTAGGTGGTTTTATCTTTTTATACCTATGTAGGTATAAGTAGGTAATATATTTTATCTTATTTTTTTAATATATCAACGATTTAGTAATATACTTAATTAAGGTATTAAACCCATTTATATTAATAACAACCATTTTGGTTAAAATACTCTAAATGCATTATAAAAAACTATGCATTAAACTGGTTAGTCTTAGTGAATACCTAAATCGACTTAAAAGCTTTTAATGCTAAAAAATATAATGTATGACTACATAATATGTACCTATAACTTAATTTTCAGAACCATGTGAGCCTTCTTGCCCCATCCAGCCAAACTTGAACATATTGGCGGCGTCCGCCGGTCCCCTGGGCGGCCCGCAAGCGGTCGCCCCGCCCGGCGCCAGCACCAGCGGCGGTGCTGGCGGCGGCGCCGTCCCTGCTCACCATTCCCCGTACGACCTGCGCAGAAAGTCTCCGCACCACGACGGTCCCGGACCCAGCACCAGCGCCGCCACCGCTGGTTCGCCCACCTCCCCGGCCACGCCCACCGCCCCCGCTCAGGGTTACTCCTGCTCGATGCTGCCCGCCAGAAAGCGCCCCCGCAGGACCTGCTCCTCGTCCTTTGAAAGTAAGTATCAACTATTCTTCCGTTCCTACTTCTTCTTGGAATTTCAAAGTAAGGATGGAACCAAATAACACTTTTAAGCCTCATTCAGAACCTTGTAATTAGTGGAATAAATTATTGGTTATAATTAGGGGCAACTAAATTATGCGTTTGAAAACTCCAAATTATGCGCAGGAATTCTGCCATTTTATGCGGCAATTATGCGGGCAAAATTGGGAAAATATGCGCCAATTATGCGGGCAAAAATAAGGAATTATGCGAAATTATTCGGGCAGAAATCAAGAAATAAGCGAAAATTATGTGTACTTTATAGATTTGGAAGGAAATAGTAAGTTAAGAATGCATCATTTTCATTTTAAAAAAAATCTGAATAGGGAACTGCAGGTCACCCACGTTAATAAAACAAGTGAGTGATAGTTAAACGAAGTAGTATTTTATTTTCCATAAAGTATTTTGTAAAAGAGCAGACTATGCAAATCTTTAAAAGTCAACATAAACATAAATTATGTTACATACATAACATAGATAAGTTATCTAAGATAACAATTAAAACATTAGTAATGTTACATTACTGTCACAATAGACTATTCACCACAATCACATCACATTGTCATTTAAGTCAAGCATTGAATCATCCTTATCTTAGATAATAAATAAGTTATCTACTACATCTTCATCACAATTAAAGTGCTCCATTTCCAACTTGCTGCCAAAATACATGCACATGTGCATTTTCCTCCAGGAGGACTACTTTCACAAAGGATAAAGTTGAGGCAATGATGCATCATTGCCTCAACTTTATCCTTTGTGAGAGTAGTCCTCCTGGAGGAAAATATGTCTCCATAAGCACTAAAGTCTCTCTCAGTGTCCACATTTGAAACAGACACATGTAACACTTGCACACAGGGTATCACAAAATTTAATTTAAAATCATAGAAATTAATGCACAAAGCACCAGATCCTCTTTCTCACCTTTTTTAGATTTATCTTTAGAATTTTCTTTGACTGCATCTGCCAAATAGAGTGTAACACTACAAAATTTGATGATGGGATGGAAGACAAGACTTATTTTTTTCTTTTGCTGCAATAACACTTTAAGCTGAAAGAGGAGCAGTCAACTTACAGGAGTCAAACAAAAAACGAGAGGACTCAAAGAAGTCCTTCGCAGTATCCTCCTGCAACATTTTTTTCAGTAAGTCACAGCAGGAGGTGCAAACATCTTTCATTCTTTGCAGAAAATGTTTCTGTTTCTTCCCAGGTACCTCATTAAGACTAGTTTTTAGCCTTCGGCGTGGCGGAATTAATGTACTGTGCATTAAAAGTGATTTTGGCCGAATGGAAACCAGAAAACGCGTAAATTATGCGAAAATATGTGATATTATGCGCATAATATGCGAAAATGCAATATGCGGTGACCGACATCGAATTATGCGAAATTATGCGGACTGGAAATGATGCATACTGGAATCATAACATACCAAAGTGTTTAAAAATTGATATCTGCACTTTTGAAAAAATATGCGATTATGCGCCCGCATAATATGGTTGCCCCTAGTTATAATTAACACAAAACTTATAATTAACAAAAAACGATCATTTACAATGCACAAAATTAATTTCTAAAATTAAGGCAATTTGCTAAAAGATCATCCATTCTTCTTAACCTGACATAAACAATATTAATTATATTAGAATAATATTTTTTACAACCATTATAAAGGGTGGGCCATGTTTATGTTGAATTATAAAATAGCAATTAGAACAAAAAAACTGTTTTTTTCAACGAATTTAGCTTTATTTGATACAATGTTTCTTCCGATTAAGTATGGAAAATGATTTCATTTAAGTGGCCACCTTGGCTGGCTCGGCAGTAGCCCATCCTGGAACCCCAATTTTCGAGTACTTTGTCAAAAGTTTGCTGCTCTATTTGGGCAATTTGGGCTTCACCAAGTGGTGAATTGTTTGAGGATTGTCCGCATAAACTTTATCCTTCAATGCACGCCAAAGAAAGAAATCAAGTGGTGTTAAATTCCAGCTCCGGGGTGGCCAATTGGCATATCCGAAACGGCTAATTACAAGATTGTTAAATTTTGTGCGCAAAAGGTTGATGGTGCGCGCGGCGGTGTGGCAAGTTGCACCGTCTTGTTGAAACCAGACCTCATCAAGATCGATATTTTCCAATTTTTTCCTCAAAAAGTCAGATCATATCTCGCAAGATACATACATCATATCTCGATAGTGGTCACCATTGACCGTAACGACGCGGCCAGCTTCAGTTTCGGAGAAAAAGGGTTCAATTACGCCGCCACTCCAAAATCCACACCACACAGTGACTCGAGCTGGATGCATGGGCTTCGTTATGGCGACGTGTGGATTTTCCGTGCCCCAAATCCTACAGTTTTGCTTGTTGACATAACCTACGAGGTGAAAATGCGCCTCATCCGAAAAGATGATTTTTCTTGCAAAATCTTGCATCGTTCAACTGGTTTAAAGCCCACTTAGCGAAGCGAAAACGTTGTGGATGGTCAACTTGCTTTAACTCCTGAACGAGCTGGATTTTGTACGCAAACATACCGAGGTCTTTGTGCAGAATCCTCCTCAGAGTGGTACGGGAAAAGACGAGTTGTTCACATCTGCGCCGCTGTTGACGCGTTCACGCGCACATTTTTGGCCACAGCAGCGATTGCTTCAGGTGTACGTCTAGGACGAGCATGCGAAACATGTTTTATGTCCACCAGCATTCCACTTCTGCGCACTTTATTGATAAAATTTGAAATTCCTTGGTTTAACGGCGCCTCATTTCTTTCAAACTTTTTACGCAAATTTCTTGCCGTCTCTGCGATCACAGAGTCACACTTAAAGTAAGTTTTGAGTATTTCGAAACGTTAATTCAAATTTAATCGGTGCATATTTTGTAAAAACCACAGTCACAACCACAGTTGCGCACAAGTTGACAGCGTCATTAATAGGACGTAAATAGTTTAAAATTTAACTTATAAATGGCCTATCCTTTAGTAATATTTATATAACTTTACCTTCACTGACAAATCTTCAAACTTTTACATTTAACATAAAATGTCCGCGCACAAGCGCCACACTGTATTCATAAGACAAACATTAATTGAAACCACTAATTATGAGGTTTTGAATGAGGCTTTATATATAATATATATATAATTGTTTGATTGATTTGAATGTCAAGAAATATTAATAAGTACTCAAAAAAGTTCTCGCCCATTTTTCCCATACTTTTGTTTAATCCTAATTTTATTTTAAACAAACTTTATCAAACCAATTAATATTGGCATATAATTAATGGAGCATATTATGCTTCATTGTGATTGATGACAATTGCCATTTTTTGTGTAAAGCCATTGCCATTGGTGTGGTTTCTGGGCAAAAAATTGAACCAAGAGATTGTTACAGACTTTAAAGACAAATGTTTTGCAGAAACAAAAAAAATGTAATCTGAAGGTTCAAGTTTGGGGCTGTACAGGGTGTCCCAAATTGGTTGTCCGTATAGGGTCATATCTCTTAACCTAAAAGAGCTAAAAAAAAATCTGTCTACACTAATGAATTCTGTGATAAAAAGTGCCTACATAATATTTTAAACCTGTATTCGTAACTCAAATATTAACGAAGCTACAAGCATTTGTCAAAATTGGCAAAAATTGAAAAAATAGGTGTATCTCCTAAACAAATGCGAATCGAGAAAATTCAAAGACATCATCCGATGTATGTTTAAAAAAGACGACGGGGATGCGTGGTCGAATTTTTTCTAGCATTTATATTTACTGAGATAGCCTATACGGACAACCAATTTGGGACACCCTGTACAGTGGATGCATTTAAAGTTTCTCTTTTGATTGTTGGATAAACAGAATAAAATTAGGTCAATTAAATGGTTCACTGTGGAACCTAAACATTAAGGTTTTTTTGTATAGCCTTCTGCAAATAGCTTAAGGAGGTTCGGGGCAAAATAATTAGTTGCTATGAAAAATGTTGAAAAAATTCTAGGTTGTAGTAGTTTTAAAAAGATTGACTTCCTGGTTTCCGAGCAAAACAATTACACTGTGCAACACAAAAAATGAACTGGGATCAAATCTGAAAAAATCGAATCTAGGCAACCCCCAAAACAAATCCTTTAAGGGGTTTTACCAGTTTAGCTCGAATAATGGAGATATACATATATATATGTACAGGGTGTTTCTTTTAACTTGAGACAGCTCAATATCTCGAGAAATACGCATTTCACGGAAAAATGTCTTGAATAAAAGGTTAATGTGACTAAAGGGGACATTATTTGGTGCTACCGCTAGCCACCCCCTACCCATAGATGACCGAAGGTATAGATAGCCGACTCTCGTTAGAAAATCGAAACAAAGTTAATTTAACAGCGGATATCACCGCCCGTGGCGCTGCAAGCAGATCCATTCTAGATAGCGACATCTATTGCCCAAAGGCTTTACTAACAATTTAAACCGCCTGGAATCTACAGTGCGACATCTAGTGTGTGATGTCTGTACTAACTTAAATCTCCTTGAATTTTAAAATTGTAAACCGTAAAAATTTTGTTTTAAATACAAATCTGTCTCGAATGAAACTGACTAACAAATATATTTAAATCGGTTAATTTTTATTAAAGACTTTCAGAAATTAATTATTATATTGTGAGACAATGAGTCCTTATAAAAAAAATTTAATATTAAAACCATGGTCTAGAAATTTTAAACAAACATATTTAAATATGTTGTATTTTCAGATGTCCAATAAGATTTGGTAAGCTTTATTATAAAATTCACCCATTTTAAAAGAAAACAAAATTTAATATAATATTACTAAGGCTTGAAGTTTTCATGCTTATGTTGGTTTTCTCTTAAGATGTTTGCATTTTATAATGAATTCTATCAAATCCAATAGAAATACTTATTGGTAAGTTTCATACTAATCAGATTTGTATTTTAAACAAACTTCTCACAGTTTACAATTACAAAATTTAAGGCAATTTAAAAGTTCTCATATTAATCACTAAATGTAACATTGTAGATTACAGGAGGCGATATACAATAACTGTATTAATTAATAATGAGTTTGAAAAATCCTTGAATTAGGAAAATGTAATAAAACAAACAAATTATGATTTTAGATATTTTTTTAATGAAGTATATAAAAATAAAGTTTACAAGTATAAAACAAAGCAAATAGGTATAATAATATAAAAATAAAGTTTACAATTATAAAACAAAGCAAATAAGCATTAATGTCTAAACCAAAAAAATTACTAATTTAGTTAACAATCTTTTTTAAATTTTTAATAGCCTCCTTCTTCTTCTTGGACTCATTTTTTACCTATTTATAAGGCATTTTTTTATTTATTGTATTGGTTATTTCTAAAGTTAACTAACTTACGTCAGGATCCTTAGGAAACGAGTGGAATACTGCCTCGTTACTTGTATTTCTACAATTAACAACAGCACATTTAAACACCATTGTAAAAAAGTCAAACTAACAAAATCGCACAAAAGGAAAACTTGTAAACTGGTAAAAAAGTCAAACTAACAAAATCTCACAAAAGGAAAACTTGTTTGTCTAGAACAAAGCTGGAACAAAACCTTCGGTCATCTATGAACACAACAATAATGGGGTCTCTAAAGTTTAAACGAAAAATTGACAAATTGTCAAAGTGACAAAGATGCCACCAAAAAGCATGTTATTTAAATTCTGCTGCTTCAGCGCTATAGTCGATCCTATCCGCAACTAATTTTAAGGTCTGAAAAGGAAGGGGGGAGTGAGCATAGCATGCCCCTACCCCTCCTTAAGGGTGAAACGGGGGGTAACTTTGGAAAGTCAAATGGAATGACCAGATTTTTTTCACAGAGTTTGGTAGTACATAAAAAAATAAATAACTTTTATTTAAAACTTTTTTCAATTTATCAACAGATGGCGCTGTAATTCAAAATTTAAGAAAAATGAGTTTCCTTGTAAAATGTATTATTTGAAACGTTTGAAAAACAAAAATTAACATTAACAACAATAGTCGGCTATGAAAACAATTTATAACAAATGTTGATTTAATTTTAATTTTTGTTTTTCAAACGTTTCAAATAATACATTTTACAAGGAAACCCCTTTTTCTTAAATTTTGAATTACAGCGCCATCTGTTGATAAATTGAAAAAAACTTTCAAATAAAAGTTATTCATTTTTTTATGTACTACCAAACTCTGTGAAAAAAATCGGGTCATTCCATTTGACTTTCCAAAGTTACCCCCCGTTTCACCCTTAAGGAGGGGTAGGGGGTGGCTAGCGGTAGCACCAAATAATGTCCCCTTTGGTCACATTAACCTTTTATTTAAGAAATTTTTCCGTGAAATGCGTATTTCTCGAGATATTGAGCTGTCTCAAGTTAAAAGAAACACCCTGTATATCTCCATTATTCGAGCTAAACTAGCAAAACCCCTTTAAAGATTAGTTTTGGGGGTTGCATAGATTCGATTTTTCCACATTTCATCCCAGTTCAAATTGTAAGGTCAAAATTTGTCGCACAGTGTTATTAAAGTTGCTGGGCTGTTATCGTTTATTATTGCTAAACTGTATTGTAAATGTTAACAAAAATTTATATGCTACTTTTACAGTGCATACAAGAAAAAAAATCATCGATTTCTTATACCTGTAGAAATGCCATATAAATTGTTGTTAACTTTTACCGCACAGTTTTGCAATACTGCCGTGCTTAATGAAAACGACGTAACCAACAATTTTGCGATTTTTGGTTTACGGCATTTTCTACTAGAACAATTCATCCTGCGTCTATCCCCGGTACTCAAAAAACCGTATATATATTAGGGTGAGCCAAAAAAACTAACCTATCGGATTTATGGGTTAAAATGAACCTACATACCTACAACTGCAGTTTTAGTGATTTTTTACACTTTTCAAAGCTTTCAAACATACGAATTTTTGAATAAAAAAAAATAATCCTGGTATAGATTCTTTGGGAAATTTTATGCTCTACAAGAATCCGCGACGTAAAAAACTTTATCTCATACGGTTTAAAAGTTTTTACGTGTTATTTCAATGGAAAACTTAGAATGTTCACCGACACCTTTTAAAATTGAGCAAAAAATTTTGCCCTGCAGGGAAATTTTTTGCTCGGTATGTAGGTTCATTTTAACCCATAAATCCGATAGGTTAGTTTTTTTGGCTCACCCTAATATATATAGATACGGTTTTTTGAGTACCGGGGATAGACGCAGGATGAACTTTTCTAGTAGAAAATGCCGTAAACCAAAAATCGCAAAACTGTTGGTTACGGCGTTTTCATTAAGCACGGCAGAATAATAAACGTGTCTAAACCAAAATTATCAATCTGGATTACTATATGTGGTTATCTAGGGATATTTGGTTTGATTTATTTGGTGACTACCATAATTTCGCTTAAATTAGTAAATTATTAAAAAAACAAAATTGTATATATTAAGACAATCCTTTTACTTTCTTTGGTTTTCTTCTTTGTTTTCTGCTCTTCTCTTAAGACTTCCGCTGCATTTAACACAATGCATTTTTTCAGTTGCTTTATTTTTTGTTCCAATACAATTTTTGTAGTTGACTTCATTTGTATTTAGAACTAAGTTTTAGATTAAACAACACTGCATATAGAACTGTCACTACCTCTGTCAAAAGCGAAAAGCGTTACCATAGAAACCACCTATCAACAAAATAATTATTGCAAAACTGTGCGCTGAAACTGAACAACAATTTATGTAGCACTTCTACAGGCTTAAGTGCATATGAGGAAAAAAATAATCAATGTCACGTTATAAGATATGCATTAATTAAAGACATGGGCTGTATGGGAGATGTATTTAATTAACGCATAACATGACAATAAGAAATCAATGATTTTGTTCTTGTATGCACTGTAGAAGTGGTATGTACATTTTTGTTGTGCGGTACTCGAGTACAAGTACTCAAACACTGTACTCGTTACTCAGTCCTGAGTACTTTAATTTCAATTTACTTGATACATTTAAGATTGCAAAAATGTACTCGAGTACTTTCCTGTGTACTCGAGTACTTTCAAAGTATGCAATGAGTACATTTTTATGCGGTGAGGTTGACGTGGGTGCAGATATGTGTAAATATGTGCGAGGGTGTTGAAAATTTGGCAACACTGCTCAGACTTGTCAAATTACGAACATGCTGCCTGAGGCTGGTATAAATACAGTGACAATATTCCTCTAAAAGATAACTCAAAAATAAAAGAAAAGGCAAACCAAAACAAGATACTAGCCAGCCTTGATAATTATCTTACTTTTGTGAAACTATTGTTGACTTGTCCTAAACTCTGTTTTGTGGTCAAAAGAATTAATAAATTTATTATTTTTATTATTATTATTAAGCTGCTCAGAGTACATTGAAAAAGTACTCGAGTACTGAATACAAGTACTCTTATATAAAAGTACTAATTATAATTAACATAAAGCAAAATATCAATATTTGATGAAGGCAATAGGCCAGCTAGTATTTAGTTTTGCACTAGTGATTCTAAATTCATTTCATAATTGCCCCATTTCTCTAGCATTAGTACTTGAGTACTTTTATATAAGAGTACTTGTATTCAGTACTCAAGTACTTTTTCAATGTACCTACTCGGAGCAAGCTCATTCTATGACGATCATGTTGCAAATTTAAACCATATCTTGTCATATATGCGTGATTAATGTTTAAGGGTTTAAATTTGTCTATATTATTTCTTACAAACTTTAGCATTTCATATATCGATGACTTTCTGCCTAAGTATCGCAAGCAACATAACTCAAATTTCGGGAATTGAAAACATTTCTGTTTTAAATTAAATATAGCCTAAAGGTTTTATAACAAGTAAATAGCTTATAATTATAGCTATTTACTTGTTATAAAACCTATTATAGGTTATATATGGTTTAAAACAGGCTTTAAAACAAAATTTTTTTTCAATTCCCGAAATTTGAGGTATGTTACTTGCGATACTTTGGGAGAAAGTCATCGATATGTAAATACAGGGTTGGGTTGCAAAAATAAACGATAACAAACAGCCCATGTGGTCTTAGCAACTTTAATAATTTTTTAAGTAGACTGTACAACAACCTAGAATGTTTTCAACATTTTATTTTAGCGACTGATCGTGCCCGAACCTCTTTAATGTGTAAGTTATGTGAAATCGGCGTGAACTGTGTATTTGGAAATATGTGCAAAAAATAAAAGTTGCTTGTTTTCCAGATTGTACCAACACAGCAGCTCATTACTTGCAGTACGAGTTGCCCGACGAAGTATTGCTCACAATTTTTAATTACTTGCTAGAGATCGACTTGTGTCGCGTGAGTCAGGTGTGCAAGCGTTTCCAGGCGATCGCGAACGATTCGGAAATATGGAAGCGGCTCTATCAGAGCGTTTACGAGTTCGATTTGCCGCTGTTCAACCCGGCGCCGTGCCGTTTCGAGTTTGTCAGCCCGGAAGAGTCCGAGCTGGCGAATCCGTGGAAGGAATCCTTCAGACAATTGTACCGCGGCATCCATGTGCGTCTCGGGTATCAGGACATTACTTTTAAGGGTAGAAATTTAGTGTACTTTAATACGGTGCAGGGCGCGTTGGACTACGCGGACGAGCGCAGCGGCAGCAACAGCACTACGGGTTCTCTGACCGGCTCGTGCAGCAACCATTCCGGGGAAAGCCCCACGCAAGGCACCCTCATATTCCTGCACGCCGGCACCTACCGCGGCGAATTCCTCGTCATCGATTCGGACATCGCTCTGATCGGTGCCGCGCCCGGCAACGTTGCCGAGTCCGTCATCCTCGAGAGGGAAAGCGAGTCGACGGTGATGTTCGTAGAGGGCGCCAAGAACGCCTACGCTGGACACTTGACCCTAAAATTCTCGCCAGATACCGCCAACTCTACGGTGCCACATCACAAACACTATTGTCTTGAAGTTGGCGAGAATTGCAGCCCCACAATCGATCACTGCATTATCAGAAGTACCTCAGCTGGTATGTATTATTTGTATCATTTTGATTACACTAGTCGTCACCTGAGAATTATAGTGTTCTATCTGCATTTTTTTAAAATTGAGGTTAGTCTTGTTTTAAGTCTAAAGCTTATTTTCATGTATCCGTTTGTCCGTTATCCGTTTGTCCGTTATCCGTTTGTCCGTTTTTCAATAAAATCGTCCGATAAGAAATGTTCTAATTTTCATGCATCCGTTTTTTAATTAAAGTGAATATACTGACACTTAATTTTTATTTGTAGCCAAATTAACCTGTTTATACGTTTAACAGGTTAATTTGGCTACAAATAAAAATTAAGTGTCAGTATATTCACTTTACTAAGTTTACCTAATGCTTAATTGTCATAGTTACAATTATGTCAACAATTGTAACTTTAACAGTTAGCTGTCTAATAAATTTAAAGGTAGGTAAACATACCATATAAAAAGAATATACTAGCCTTAATGTACCTACATTAAAATGTATAGTTTTAAAAAAAGCAGGTCCTTTTAGTTCTATTTTTAATTTTTTTTTTGTTTGTTTTTTCTTTTTTTCCGTTATTCTTATCAAATAAAAACATAACAGTATAACATTATTCACATAACGAACGTAATATTTCCGTTTTACAATCTTATTAAAAAAATATAAAGATTTTAAAATAAATTTTCTTAAAATAACGTTAGGCGTCAAAAACAGATGTGTAGTGACGGATGAGTTAATAGTTATTTACGATATAAGTGGGATAAGAGCTTTATTAACGTACGCATGCGAAATTTGCCCAACGAGTGCGTAGCACGAGTTGGGCAATCGCAAAAGTACGTTAATAAAGCGTTATCACACGTATATTGTACAAATTTTTATCTACGCCTCCAAATGAAAAAATAAACGGTAATTATTTTTGTCTAAGACTTAATTTAGGGTTATTTTGACATTTTGACATTTTGACTTTTTTATTTGATTGGTTAAAAGCAGAGAAAAACGCGTGCGTTAATGAACTCAAAATGAGTGGGATAAGAAGTTCTTATCTCACTGGCGTAGATAAAATTATTTTAACTTCCTCTGTCAGACGTACGAAGTTGAAACTTGACGGACCGATAAAATGTCATAATTTTCGAATTATAATTGGACCAATAAGAGCGCTCCCGGATGAACGGACTAACGGACAAACGGATACATAAAAATTAAGCTTTAAATATGCATATTGTTTTATCTATAGAAATATATATAGAAATTGTACAGTTTAAGGCTTAAACTGTACAATTTCTACCCCAATTATATATAGATAGAACAAGACTAACCTCAATTAGTATTTTTTTCTGTAAAATTGTCCGCAAAATCCGAAAATGCTGTCAAAAGTTATGAAAGAAGAACAGTTTTTAAGATATAGTCAATTTTTCATAATATATAGTCAATTTTTCATAATGAAGTATTTTTACTTATCTTCAATGCTAGTTGAAGTAGGTATTTGCATTCTTTTATAAAAAATTAAAGGTTAATAAATTCTCATATCATTATTATGTTTAACATTTTCATATCAGATTACGGGTTCACTAGCTATTGTAGATTTATCTTTAATTTATGACTGGACATAGAAGCATGATCTATAACAAATAAAATAAACCACTTCAATAAAGGTAAGGCTCCGAATTTTAAAATAATTCTTTTTAAAAACCAAGTCCCTATAGAGGAGATAACTTGACATACATTTTTTTATTTAAAATATTCACTTATTTACTTTTATAAATAATCAAACTTTTCAGCAGTGCTTTCTGTAAAAAAAGTTACTTTGCAAAGTCAATTATTTTTTTTTGTAAATTATTAAAATAATTTTCTACTATTATTTATTTTTTTCGTTTATAAATATGTATTACATTTAAAGTAAAAAAAATACTTTTTCATTTTTAAAAGTATGAAGTTATGTAGAGTTTATGAAAAATATTTAAATTATTAAATAAAAAAATTGTTGATCTTTTTTGAGCGCGCGCCTTCCGTGCAGCTTTTCCCGTGTTCGTGGATTTTACGATTAAAATTATTTAGTGAAAGTATCGCAAGGGCATAAATGCCACAATACGCTATTGAAGCATCGCTAGTAGCGCCATTACTTGGCCGGTATCTTCGTAACAAAACTACAACTTTTAATAATCAGGACGCGTATGTTACTAACAAGTGTTTTTGAGAATAAAGCCGGTTGTTGTGTTCTTGGGTGTTTTTCGAGAGGAAATCCTGGGTTGAGTTTTTACCGGTTTCCCAATAAACAGTGTTAATCCGAATGAAGAAATATATTGCATACAGTCCCTGTAAATATAAATTGTACCTATTATATACAATAAATAACATTTTAATAACGACTAACGTGAAAAGTGTAAACATTTCAATTCAGTAAAAATCGTCAAACAAATAAGTCTTCCAAATTCAAACAGCAATTAGCATTATTAAAAGCGTTGATTTAAAATTCTCCACTCAACGGTAGAATACCATTATATTGTGTATTATATATAATATTATGTTGCCATGACTTCGTATGTATATTTTGTTGTTTAAAATGCAGTTGTCGGCGTTTTTTTAACTCTTTCTTAAAAATGTCAAACTAAAATATAAATTATATTAGGTAAAGTTATCATTAGTTAATTCTACACCAACAAATATACCTACCGAATCCTTTGGCAAAACATGAAAATGCAACGATTACTTCTTGAATTTTATTTAGAATTAAAAACACAATAATTCATCATAATCACTTAGATAAAATACACACACTAACGTTACTATATAAGCATATAAGCGTTGAGTTTCTTAATCAATGATATAAGGAATCTTTAATCGAAATCAAGTACTAAACCAAAGTTTTAAAGTTTTTATTTGCAACGCAAACACACAAATAACGTGCGCGATTTAGCTGTGCAATTGAACAAAATTTATCGAGTAAGACTGCCTTCCTCTCTTTTGAGAAAAAACTACCTACTTTTTTATTTAAAAATTAGTTCGTATGCTTTAAATGTATTGTTGACAATTCTTAAATTCACACAATGATATCAAACTCCACGAGATGGCGCGCGCGTTGCGAAAACCCGATGCTTCTTTAGCGTTGAACTTACTTACTTTTAAAAATAATGTTTGAGGCCTGTTTAATTTAAAAAAAATATTTTTTAAACGAAGTATTGTGGAAAAATGTATTATTGATTTACAAAAATAAAATCATTTCAAGCGCGCGAAACGCACGAATTACAAAACTTTCTTTATTAAAAAGGGGCCCTCCCGAGATCAAAAATATTGTCAATATATTGACAATACCTAGACTTCACGCAGCCACACGATCAATATAATTTTCAAAATCATCAAATATTGACAATATAATTGAATGTGTGAGGGCCCCTTTATAACAGTGACGTCATATGTTTATTAGCTACAAATTAAAATAATAATAAGTGCAGTACCTAAAACGAAAATATCAACAAATTCTGTTACACACATATGTGTGGAGTACATTTTTGCGTAAATTCACAGAAGGCCTGCATTTAGATGGTATTTTAATGTTTTTACCGGAAATCTTAAGAATATTAATTTCCAAATGCTTTGTGTAACTTTTGCATGCAGAACCATGTGTGAATAAAATACCCTAAATATGTATAATTTTCAATTGGAAACAATTATTTAAAACTATAGAGTCATTCCAAATAAAAACACCAAATGGGGTGCGCTGAGTGATTTTTTATTTTGATGAAAAAATTTAAGGATGATCTTTTAGGTGTCAAATATGAAAATCCGTTGCCGTTTTAATTTTTTGTTGCTTTACTTTTATTTGGCACCCCTTAGAAGTCTGAAATAGTGTCAATTTCTTACTCTCTTATAGTGGGCCAGAACTTTTTTTCTGTGACAAATATTGAAATAATTTTAATTTTGTTTTACTGTCCAGTAAGTGTGTTTTCGATATAAATTATTTTTATCCAATTAGTTAATCTCATAAAAGAATGGTAAACCACTAAAGATTCATGATAATTTGCCAATTTTTGTGATTTTTGTATGGCTCCTGTGCCTATTCTACTGAATTTAGAAGTTTCATTTTTTTCAGGTATAAAGTACTTATACAATAGAAAACGTAACTATTATTTTAAGTTTCTAGACTATCAATTTCTTTATTAAAAAAATTATTGAAAATTGATAATTCTCAAAATTAGCCAATTTTGCCCTCAGAAATCATTATGTTGAGGAAAAAATAAAAATCTGAAACTTTCAGGAAATGTAGTCCCCACCTTCATCTTTTCAGTCCAGTTGGTCTTGTTTTGTTATTTTTATTCCTTTAAAAGATATATTAATTTTTTTAATGCCCGTTTAGTAGCGATATTGTTAGTTTTATTTATAATTTAAAATTTAGATGGCTTTCCTGTTTGGTGGAGAAGTGTCAGAACTTTTAAAAATATTTCATAAATATTATTTGTGCGTATTTCTTTGGTAAATTTTGTATATAACATAATATGTAATATTATGTTATATATAAAACTTTTTAAAATCACCAAAGGAATACCACAAATAATAATTATGAAATATTTTTGAGAGTTCTGATATTTTTGGTAGTTATGTTATATTTTATGTATTGAAAAATCATATATATATATATATATATATATATATATATATGTATATGATTATATATTATATACATTATAATGAAGTATTTAATTGGGTAATTGGTGTTTAAAGAAGAGGAATGTAAAAAATATATTTAAGATCCGTATGGTTTATATCGTTAAGTATAATAAGTGAAATTAATAAAGAGTTAATTTAAACGTATAAAAAATGTGTTTTTTGTCGGTTTCTTTCACAATTTAAACCAAGTTAGTCTTGTTCTATTATTTTGATCCCTTTAGTAAGGCACTAAATAGTTAAAAGTTAAATGTATGTATTTTAAATGGAAAAAATTTACACAATCTGTAAATACTTCTTTAAATTTTAGTTTTTAGGTAACTGGTTAAAATAAAACATGTTATAATAAAGGGGTTTATTTAGAATATTTTTTGGTTTTTGCTTATTTTTAACAATTTAAAACTTCTCAGAACTTAAATATTTTCTATAAGAAAGAGGTACAAAATTATGATATGTTCTTGCATTTTTAATTGCGATTAAATTCATGAATCTCGAACACTCCGTCATTTATTACACTTGCAAACTTGCAAACTTTTTGAAATCAAAATTTAAATACACACAAATAAAATTTATGAAATATTTTTGACAGATCTGACATTTCTCTACCAAACATGAATTGACAAAGTCAAAGCCATCTAAGTTTTAAATTATAAATAAAACTAACAATATCGCTACTAAACGGGCATTAAAAAAATTAATATATCTTTTAAAGGAATAAAAATAACAAAACAAGACTAACTGGACTGAAAAGATGAAGGTGGGGACTAAATTTCCTGAAAGTTTCAGATTTTTATTTTTTCCTCAACATAATGATTTCTGAGGGCAAAATTGGCTAATTTTGAGAATTATCAATTTTCAATAATTTTTTTAATAAAGAAATTGATAGTCTAGAAACTTAAAATAATAGTTACGTTTTCTATTGTATAAGTACTTTATACCTGAAAAAAATGAACCTTCTAAATTCAGTAGAATAGGCACAGGAGCCAGACAAAAATCACAAAAATTGGCAAATTATCATGAATCTTTAGTGGTTTACCATTCTTTTATGAGATTAACTAATTGGATAATAATAATTTATATCGAAAACACACTTACTGAACAGTAAAACAAAATTAAAATTATTTCAATATTTGTCACAGAAAAAAAGTTCTGACCCACTATAAGAGAGTAAGAAATTGACACTATTTCAGACTTCTAAGGGGTGCCAAATAAAAGTAAAGCAACAAAAAATTAAAACGGCAACGGATTTTCATATTTGACACCTAAAAGATCATCCTCAAATTTTTTCATTACAATAAAAAATCATGCAGCGCACTTTTAAATTCATTTTTGGTGTTTTCATTTGGATTGACTCTATATGCACTTAAATGCAAAAACATTATAAGAAAATTAGTTTTACTGTTAAGTTATCCTTTCCCTAACACTGCCCTACTATGGAGAAAGGCAGTAACTGCTAAACAAGAAATTTGTGGAAAATTAGCATAAACTAAATTTTTATAAAAAGCAGTAGGTATTTAATTGATTTTTTTAACTTATGAGATATTTGACTGCATTTCTGTGTTGAATTCGGTTACAAAATGTCCATAGCTTTACCATAGCACAAGAAAACGCATTTTGCATTTTTCTGCAGTTACTTTCTCCATAGTAAGTCAGAACACGTCTTACTCTCCCATCATCCAGCTGACTTGTATAACCAAGCAGTTCCAGAATATTCTAGTGTTTTTGATCCATCCCCCACCTTTCATTTATTTCTCCACTTATCCTACAATCGCTTCCCTACTACTGATAGTGGAATATTCTCAATAATTCTTAGTTTAATTTTATAATTTATGCATGGACCATAGCAAGGCATTCAGAGTTCAAGATTTTCGTAAGGGACATTAAATTACAATCTAAATGTGGCCAATACACAGTCACTTTTATAACTATGGAGCCTACACATGTATATGTTACCTGCAATGTAAAAAATTCATTTTGGGACATGCATTATTTACGTGAGATAAAAATAGGGGGGAGGGGTCTAGCAAAATCTCACCAAATCTCATATTAAGGGAGAGGCGGTCATTAAAATCTCACATCCACTTTTGGGTTCAAAGAATAGAAGTATTATAATTCAAAAAGTAATTAATTTTTTTTGGGATTATACTGTTGTCCGCAATGAAAGTTTAATGGCTAGAATCTCACGTGAGGGATAGGAGGGGGGGTCTACCACATCTCACCAAGGGGTAGGGAGTGGTCCAATTATCAGAAAAATGCCTCACGTAATTAATGGATGTCCCCTTTAGAGATTCATAATGACGAGCGGGAAGAAAGACATATTTTAGAGAAATGGAATACCTACATTATGCAGTAAAAACCCAAACCAACCATTATATAAATACCAAGTATTTGTTAATTTGTATCAACGTATTTTTGTTTGTAGTTTTTCTTTTCTAAAAACAAAATTCAGTTTTTCAATTTTACATTAGTGTCGTAAATTAGTGTAGCGCACACTGCCTAGTTAATGTGAGCTTTAATGCTCGGATTGACTATCGCATCAGACATTTTGCAGATTGCCCAAAATGGTAGTGATTTCGCACAATGTCTGGTTAATTGGTCTGTTTGCAGAGTATCTAGACATTTCGCACATTGCCGGTAACATATACAATGTATAATATACATATTGCTTCCCAAATTAAGAGGGCGCTAGTGTTCTGTTTGTACCAAAATAGTGAAGGGGTTATAAATAAATCTGCAAAAAAATCTATACCAACATATACTTTCGTTCCAGTGGGTGCCGCCGTTTGCGTGACCGGTCCGGGCGCGAATCCGGTGATCCGGCACTGTGATATAAGTGATTGCGAGAATGTCGGTCTGTACGTGACCGATTCGGCGCAAGGCACCTACGAGGACAACGAGATCAGTCGGAACGCGTTGGCCGGCATCTGGGTGAAAAACTACGCCAACCCCATCATGCGTCGCAATCACATACATCACGGACGCGACGTTGGAATATTCACGTTCGACAATGGAATGGTAAGATTTCATAATAATTGTTAGTTTAAGCCTCAACTGCACTGCTAGGGTTGACAGGTACTCTAGGGTTTAAATATGTTCGCCTGACTAATAAATAAGAAAGAACTTTATACCTTAACATTCTTAAAACAGTTAGTTGACATTTCTAAAGGCCCCACAGACTTTTTTTCTTTTTCATTCGTTTGCAGGGCCGGACTTACGCATGTAGTTGCCTGTGGGCAAAGTTATTATGGGCCCCCCTCCATCATAATGTTTTTTTTATTAAAATTAAGTTTTAAATTTATAAAAAAATTTAAACTTAAACAAACAATAGTTTTTTTTACCTCATATATACAGTGTGACCCATTTGTTTGCGACTAACCCCTGTAAAATCTTTATTTATTGTGCGATTTTAACCGGATTTGTTTTAAAGTGTATTGTTGAAGCAAAAAACGCTATATTTGTACAAAATACAAGGCCTACTATGTCAGTTTTTAAGAGTAAATTTTTAAGAATTTATATTAGCGATTTTTTAAAACAATATCTAAGCACGACACTGGATTCACCACCCCTCAAGATTTTAAAACAAATCCGGTTAAAATCGCACAATAAATAAAGATTTTAGAGGGGTGAGTCGCAAACAAATGGGTCCCACTGTAGACTTTTTTTATAAATATTTTAATTTAAACCATATACATATTTTAACAAAAAGTCCATAGTGGTAAAAACAATTCAGGATTAAAACAAAATTTCTTAATTTAAATAAATTTTAACTACATTACATTATAACGAGGGGTAAACCACTTTAAAATCTTAGAGACGAACGTTCAATGTTAGTGGACGTTGTGTTGTGATTTTTTTCCTTATCAGTCGTTATCAATAAGGAAAACTTATCAGTGCTTAATCAGTGCTTAGCGACGCGTTGCGTATGACTACCCTTGTTATTGTTATCTTGTTATCCTTAGCCGTTAATTCGTAAGCGATTTTTAATTTAAAAAAATCAGTGGTTTTCCCCTCGTATTATAAACACATACATTTTAACAATTATATACAAAAATTACATTTTAATGCCAAAAATACAGAATGTTTTACAACACAACATTTATTAAATATATAAATTTACAATAACACAGCATGTACTGCAATGGCATTTATTAAATGCCATTAAATTAATATGAAACAGGCTATACATATTTACAAGTATATGAAAACTTACGATATGGTTTTTCAATATTCTTATTAGGTCCTATTTTTTATCTACACTTACAAATTTCCCTGTTATAAAATACAAAATATTAGTATAACATTTAACACTTTGTTTGGTGTGTTTGGTTAATTATTGCAAATAATCATTTTTACGATATGAAAATGCGCTCTGAAGAAAAAAGATGTTCATAGTTGCGCAGTTTCAAACTCGGCGCTTGAAGCGCTAAGTTTCAAACCATCGCCCAGTGAAGCAAAGGACGGAAGACAATGCACTTAAGTTCCGAATAATGGTGTATTAAATAGTTTAGGTAAATGAATTTCCAACCTTTGGGTTGTGAATATAAGTTTGGAATATAAGTACACATTTTATTGAATTTGTCTTTTTGTATGGTCCCCAAAATTGAGGGGGCCCGAGGCTGCTGCCCTTTTCGCCCTCCCCTAAATCTGGACCTGTTCGTTTGTATAGCCTCAATCATAAAATTTAACAAATAATGCATATAAATACTTGTTAACACTACCAACAAAACAAGTTCCCATACAATTTCCTCTTCATATTTTTAGTAACCTTTTAAACTGTGGGTCACAGTGGGTTAGATTAAAACTACCTATTAGCAAACTTGCTGTATATTTTTTGTAAAAAGGATCCCAAAGCTAGTTTATCAATAATTGAGAAAGTGCTAAATGGTGTAGATAGTGACTTAATAATTATTAAGTCACTATCTAAACCATTAAGCACTTTTTCCTTCACAGACATCAGCATAAAAGCTTACAAATTTACGTACTTATCCAATTTTTTTTAAAAATTTGTCAAAAACGATCTTTTACACCGAACCAAAAGGCTGCCGCAGGGAATCACATGGTACCATGTATATAAATACTAGTTAACACTACCAACAAAACAAGTTCCCATACAGCAAAAGGATATCGGACGCCGATAGGCTGCCGAACGACTGCCGCAGGAAATCCAATGGACGTCCATTTATATGTTTTTATGGGATTATTTGAATTTACAATTTAATTCGAAATATGTATGTGAACAATGTTTAAAATCACATTGACGTAAGTATGTATCATCTGATTTAAAAAATAGTCCCACGTAAGTATACTTACAAAAACATTGATTAATAACGAAGTTTACGCCTACGACAATCTGTAGCTACTTGGATAGTAATTGTTTGCTAGTAATCAAAACAAATTCATAATAATTTGTCTTATTGAGGCTATTTTCTTGCACATTGTTACTTCTGTTACACAGGAATGGCCGATGTGCATAAAAACTATAATTGATAGACAAAAATTCAACGGATTTAGATTCAGCACAAAAATGTACCCTAAAAACACTTCAAATGCTATGCAGAACTGTGTTATTATTTCTTGTTTTACAAGAGTTCCTTTTATATTTCGGGAATGGGCGATTCTGCAGCTAACAACCGATGTCTATCGTTAAGTTCCACCTTTTGGTAGTTTTTCTGATCAGAAAGTTTTGACGTACAGGCACAATTTGTTTCGTTTACAATTTTTTTAAAAATTGATCTCAGAGACAAAAAATGGAATTGAGTCGAAACATTTCTGTGCGATCATTTTTTACATCTTTCATGCATCGATGTACTTAATTTTTTATATGGCGATGAAGCACCATCTCAAGATTCTATATATCCGTGGTTCGCTTAACGAAGATATTTCGTGAAGGTGGTCCAAAATCAGTTGTCCCAAAAAACATTGATGCTGTGCGTGAACTGATATTGCAAGTTCATCATGTAAGTTAACCTAAGATTGGGGCGTCCTAGTGTTTCAAGTGTATACATTAAATTTTGCTTTAACATTTAGTCCTCAGAAAAGTTTGTTCCCTTAAAAAAGATGCTTAAAAAATACGATCGCGGTGCACCAAAAACTATGTATAACACTATAAAACTATACACGTGACGTATCTGGCATATCTATGCATATAAACAAAAGTTTTCTAAAATTCTTGTTTTAAAGCTACCTCAATCTAAAATTGATTCAAACATATAAAAAAGAATATTGATCTTCATGAAGAATATTTTGAAAAACAATAAGGCCATGTACGATGATTAATTGTTGTTTTTTGTTTTCTATTCCCGAACTATAAAAGGCAACCTTCATATATTCTTATTAAGGTTAACTCATAAAGTTAACTATGCTATTATTTCTATGACTTAAAAAGTTATATTTAGTGAGTTTTTATTTTTATGTTTTAGGTGTAGAACCTTAAAGCGTATTAAATAGGGTTTGCATGAATTAAGCAGGATGTTACAAAATAAAATTTTGTAGGTAAAAAGTGAAATAATTTTGACAATGTTATTTTAAAAAAGACACAATCGTTAAAATAGACTTCTTATTTGTATTTAGTAAATTATATTAAATTAGGACAAGTCTCACTTTTGACTTTTTTATAAAAGTTTTTTTTAACCTTGGTACTAAATATTTTTAAAACAAATAAAACATTTGTCCTTTAAACCAATTTTTGAACCTGGCAACCCCTTATGCATTACGGTTTCTCCTCACAAAATGATTTTGTGACTAAAATGTTTTCGTTGTTTAAAAAAAAATTATCTTTAGGGATACTTCGATTCAAACGACATCCACGACAACCGGATCGCCGGTTTCGAGGTGAAGGCGGGCGCCAACCCGACAGTGGTGCACTGCGAGATCCATCACGGCCAAACGGGCGGCATATACGTGCACGAGAACGGTCTCGGCCAGTTCATCGACAACAAGATTCACTCAAACAATTTCGCCGGCGTCTGGATCACGTCGAACAGCAACCCCACCATTAGGCAGAACGAAATCTACAACGGTCACCAGGGGGGAGTCTATATCTTTGGAGAGGGTAAGTCTTAATAAAATGTTTATTCCTAAAATTATAGAGGGTGTTTAATCTAATATTGGATTTTTTATTTATTTAACTTAAGGACGAAATAATTGAGGAGGTGCATTCCAAAACTTATATTAGGTGATTTTGAGCAAAAAAACCTTACACGTGAGTACCAACACATATCAGGCCAACAGAATACATTAAACGATATATATATATTGGCATAAGTACAACATTTATATACCTTGATTAAAAAATTTAAAATTACATATGTATAAGCTGAGTTCTAACATGATATAAACAATAGATAAGGCAAGTTTTGGAACAATAGTCAATTTGTAAACGAATTTGAAATGGAATCAGGTGAGTTTTAGAATATTATGACCTTGTCATAGGGGACTACATGTTAAATGTACACTAACTAATTTTTATTAAAAAGTGGTTAAGCCCTAACTCATTTTTATTAAAAAATGGATAAGCTGAGTTTTGAAATGGACCTTCTCAATTACACGGCATTTGATTAAGAAATAATAATAATTTAGAGTGTATAAATTAGTTATACACAAAGAATATTAAATGCCGCTAAAATAAATAATTATAAAATTTTTTAAACTTTTAAATTTTCACCATAACAATTGCGCCAACAAATATTAACTATCTTGTGCATACGCCCATTAAATAAGAATTCTTATTCATTAACAGATTATGTTGTACATTATTTTGTAAAAATGGGTTAATGAGTTCCGGAAACGTCGTGGGAACAAGTTCCAAAAACATTAATTCATTCATTAACTGTATGTTGGTTTTCATATTTTTTATTTGAATTGTATGTATAAATGGTTTCACTTTTAAATACATAATTAATACAAAAATAAAAAATACATAATTAAAACGCATACATTTTTAAATATATTTTTTATGTAATTAAAATTAATTTCTAATTTGTAATATTTATTCCAATACAATTTAAAACGTCTTGTTTGGTCAAGTGTTGAAGTTTAAAGTATTAGAAGACAAAACTTGCCTAATGCAAAATGTATTAACATTTATTAACGAAACGACAAGACAGCACAAAATTAGGGATATGAATGTCTAAAAATACTCTAAATACCCAGAATTATTTAAAATTTAGAAGAATATAAAATTGTCTAGAAATTTTTAAAACTATAAAAAGCAATTCTCTCAGAACTATCTAAAATATAATGTCTACATGAAAACTGTCTCAAATGTTCTTAAACTATCTTAAAATTGTTGGAACTAAAATTAATGGAATTTTTCTGAAAACATTTTAAAATAGTATTTGAATTTTCTAAAATATCCTTAAACCTAAACTGACCAAAACGCATTAAAAATACTTAAAAAATTTTAAAATATTTTAAAACCAACTTTTTTATTAAAGTTATTCTTTTTATTTTTTGAGTTTGTACTTTGTAAATTATATCAAAAAGCAAGTAAATTAATTCAAAAAGCCCTACTTTTTTTTATAAAAGTCATGAGTTTTTCCAATCCTGCCTAAAACTGTCTAAAATTAAGAAGAAATTTACCAAATTCATTAACTCCATTAAAACAGTCTTGCAAGTATTTAAAATGTCTAAAGGTGCCGATTCTCAATGAGAATATCTCATGAGATTTTTGTAAAATATTCAGGAAAAAAATAATTTTGTTGTTGTTGGAAACTGGCCTGAGATATGCGATATACTAGAGACAATCTGATGAAAGAATTTCTCGTGAGAATTTAATTTCTTAAATAAGTTTTAACGTGTAAACATGAGACATGAGACATTTATTTTACCTTCTGCACTTGAGTCTCGCTGTTATGTTGTGAGACAAAAAATTGTATTTTCCTCAAAAATGATCTCTAGTGAAACTACTAAAAAAAGAGTTTTAAATAGAAAAAAGTGTAATTTTAACTGAACAAGAGCCATGATACTGCACTTAATCGACTTATACGAAACTTTATTTTGTCCAGCAAACATTGACAGACATTCTAGATCTTCTAATAATGTTTTCATTATATTCTTATATTCGCATTTTTTTAATCCAATCTCCCACCTGTGAGACCTTTTATTTTTGTACGGCATAATAACAAATGCAGCTTTTTTATCCTTTTTTGTTGAACTTATTTTTATAAAATCACTCCACACCCACATTAGTTAGTAATTATTAATTTTATTCTAAATTAATTTTTACAATTTTTTTTTGCTTTTTTAAAGTTTCAGAACTGTGGAAACGCCTTCAGATACACCTTAATGAGAGTAAAATTTCGTAAGGTCCCATAAATATCTGAGCTCTGTTGAAACACATTTAAGATAAAATTCTCATGAGATTTTAGTCTCGTGGTGAACCTTAAAATTACCTGGTGATGCCTCAGATCTATAAATTAAAAGTAATAATTATTATTATGTTAAACTTAAATTAATTAAAATTTTGAGTTTTTTTTATATCGATAGCCACGATCTAATATAGATAAAAAAAACTTGTATTCGCTTAAAAATTAAAAACAAAAAAAATACAAACAGTGTAGAAAATGGATTTTTAGTTTTCAAAGAATAAAATCATAGTGCGCCTATATGCACCAGCATCAAAAATATTTATTTCTAATGGCTTGTTTTAAGACAAGAAAAATGATTGGTCGGAATCGCTCAATTGGAACCAAAGTTATGATCGATGATATATTGACAAAATCGTTATAATCATGAAAATTTAAAAAATCATATCTCCAAAAACAATTGATAAACCGTTCAAAAATTAAAATTGAATTTTTAATTTTAGTTACGGAACCCATAGAAAAATTTCGAAATGGCAAGGGTGTCGAATTCACGTGGAATTCCCCATGTACTATGCTCTACACCTCAAAGTCCCACGCAGTCTTTTGAAAATTTTGCATTTAAGGCTTTTCAGGTTATGTATCTGTCAAAGTATAGTCAACGAAAGAAATAATATTATGTTTAGGCGTTAAAAATTTATAAATCTTATAACATTACAATAACAATGGATGGTTTAAGAATATAAATACTGCATTTAATGAAATTCTAAAGTGTATGGTGCCAAATAAGTAATATTTTTGTGCATTTGGACCAAATATCTGGTTTTCTCCATAAAATAATTTTAACTAAACAGCATTTATTAAAAAAATCTAGCTTCTCTTTTATGGAATAAGAATATCTGTTTTAAAGGTAGGTTAATGTATTATGAGAAAAATATCATCTAATTTTGTAATTTTAAGGTTAGAAAAATTTATTTTGACCAAAATAAAAGTATTTTGGATTATTTAAAAGACTGTATAATATGGTATTTTAAAATGTGGTAGTTTTTCTTATCCAGCTTAAAGTTTACCTACATAAAGTTTTGTCAATACAAATAGTTAAAAAGCTTCGACTGAACTTGATCTACATTGAAAAATCATTATAACTTTAAAAAATTTAATAAGTTAAGTTTCTCTAAAAATTGTTTGTTTTCTTATAATCTAACTTAAAGTAGGTTTGCCAAGAGGTATGCACAAGTTTTGTCATTAGAAGTATAAAAGCTTCAATTTAATTTGAACCATATTCAACAATTATTTAGTATACCTATATTTATTTATGACCATATTAACACACCCTTCCAAATAATCCACTTATTTATTTTGGTCAAAATAGATTTTTCTAACCTTAAAATACAAAATTAGATGATATTTTTTGTTCTAATATTCTTATTTCATAATAGAGAAGTTAGATTTTTTTTAATAAATGCTGTTTAGTTAAAACTATTTTATGGAGAAATGTAGACCCAATGCACAAAAATATCACTTATATTGCACCTTTCACTTTGGAATTTCATTAAATGCAGTATTTATATTCCTAAATTCTTAAACCAACCATTGTTATTGTGATACTATAAAGATTTATTAACTTTTAACGCTTAAACATAAGCGGTAACACTATAAATATTATTTCTTTCATTGACTATACTTTGGCAGATACATATACATACCTGAAAAGCCTTAAATGCCAAATTTTCAAAAGACTGCGTTCCGTACGTGGTCTCGTGGTGGGACTTTGAGGTGTGGAGCATAGTACATACAATTTAAAAAATATATTTTTTTGGACAATTTGCGTAAAATAAAATCACAATGAGTCTTAAAACTAAGGTTTTCATTCAAGCAGCGATATGGGCTGTTAATTTATTTGTCTAAATTCCAGGTAGAGGACTGATTGAACACAACAACATATACGGTAACGCGCTCGCGGGCATTCAAATAAGGACTAACAGTGATCCGATAGTGCGACACAACAAGATCCATCACGGGCAGCACGGCGGCATCTACGTGCACGAGAAGGGCCAAGGGCTGATCGAGGAGAACGAGGTGTACGCGAACACGCTGGCCGGCGTGTGGATCACGACCGGCAGCACGCCGGTGCTGCGCCGCAACCGCATACACAGCGGCAAGCAGGTGGGCGTTTACTTCTACGACAACGGCCACGGCCGGCTCGAGGACAACGACATCTTCAACCACCTCTACTCCGGAGTGCAGATCCGCACCGGCAGTAATCCGGTGATCAGAGGCAACAAGATTTGGGGCGGCCAGAACGGCGGGGTTTTGGTTTACAACGGCGGCTTGGGCTTGTTGGAGCAGAACGAGATTTTTGACAACGCCATGGCCGGGGTTTGGATTAAGACCGACTCAAATCCAACGCTCAAGCGCAACAAGATTTTTGATGGGCGCGATGGTGGAATTTGTATTTTTAACGGCGGAAAGGTGAGTGATGTAATTTTTGTACATGTTGTGAACATGATGTCATGTTTTTGATTTTGTTATGCTAAAAACTGTATAAAAAAATTAAACTGTTAAAACTTAAATTTAAAACATTGTCCTAAAACGGTTTACAATTTAAAAGTTTTATATTTTTTCCTCGATTGTAGCATGCTACGGGAGTTAAAGTTCTGAAATCTGAAAATTTTAAAAATTTCAAATATAAATTCATTAAAAAAAACTTTTTAAAACTGTTTGTAAAATGTTTTGGGACAGAACTATCTAAATTTTTAGTTAATTGTCTTAAATGTACTAAGCTCGGGGTCACGGGTAGCCCAGTGTGTTAGGCGACTATGCCGAGACAAACTGCGTCCGAAGGTACCGGGTCCGATCCCTGGTCACAGCCTTGGGTGTTGTGCGCGTTGTAAGTCGGTAGATGAGTCTAAAGGCGGGTGCACAATTACTCGGGAACGGAAACGAAAATGAGAACGGTAACGAGAAAAAAATTAAACACACAGAAGTCAATGTACACATGCACAACAAATTTTCGGTAACGAGAACGAGAAAGTTGATTAAGTTTTAAGTTTCTCGTTCCCGGTAGCCAATAGGAACGCAGCATTATCGAAACCAATAGAAAATGAGTTTGATCTGTCAAATTATTTCTGACATTCGCGCTATTTGTTTTATCAATACGTTCTGTGTTAATAAATTAATGAAAATGAACGACGAATTAATTATTTTATTAGCAAAAAAGTTTCCACATCTGTACGATAGCGCGTTAAAAGAGTATAAAGATTAATTATTAAAGAAAAATAGTTGGCTAAACATCTGCAGTATGATCGTACGTATATTTCTATAAATAGCAAAAAAATTAAATATCCAAAACATATTAACCTAAGAATTAAAATAATTATGTTAATTGTGAATCTCGTGAATCTTCTCGTTTTCGTTTAAGTTTCCGTTCTCGTTTCCGTTAGCGTTCCCGAGTAATTGTGCAGCCGCCTTAACTCATCGAGGACCGTGGTTCGGATTCCACGTTAAACAGTAGGTCCCGCTGAAGAACCGAACCTTATAGGCTTTGCATGTAAGCTGGATAGGTTGATGGCGTTACTAATCTACTTTTTTTGTACTAAGCTCCACACCTAAATGTCTCACCTTGACATTTGGATAAAAATAATAATACTGCTTTATTTTAAAAAAATTTCAGCTTTTCAATGAAAACATTCATAATTTATTAAAGTAAAAAATGCGACTTGCAATTTTTATTTGGAATTTGATATTTTGTAAAAGCTAAGAATTTTTAAATAATAAAGCAATAAATTTTGTCAAATAATTGAGGTTATGCTTCTATCAAATTAACGCCATTTTTGCTCTATTTTCTAAAAATAATATTATATACAGGGTGTCGCAGACCTCGCGCCACTTAAAAAGTGATAGCAATGGAGATGCAAAATTTAAAAATAAAAAATTTCTAGGTTATAGTGTAATCGAATGAGAGCAAAAAAACCGAGAGGTCTCGGTTAAAGGTAGGAGTTTTAAACATTGCTAGGAGACGATAGAACATTGTTGTCTTAAAACTTTTAAAAACTTTTGTCCGACTGTTAACTAAACTTTTAAAAAGGAATGCTTTAGGACGCCAATGTTTTAAATTAAAAATTAAACAACTATTTTTGTACCTCAATCTCTAGCAATCACTACAGAATCCACTCTGCACTCGCGTAAAATGAACGTCCTCTATAACCCGCTGAACTGTGAACGGGAAACTCGCGTGCAACTTTCCTTATGCTCTTCCTACTATTTGCATCAAAAGCATTGAAAAAGCTTCTTTATTTTCCGATGTTCTAATATGTTAAGGATCACCTTCAATTTCGTTACAAAGCAGAACATCTTAACAGTTCAGGGGACGATCGGGAAAGCGCTGGGAAAAAACTCTTGCTGCCTCCCTAGCATTGCGCCCATAATTAATCATCATTTCGGCATAATCAGAGGAGGAAAACAACTTAAATTGATAAATAATGATAGGAACAAAATTGACAGCAGTGTCTCAATCTAGGGTCACAATTAAGTGGATTCCAGTCGACCAAATATTTTACATATAATAATATTAACAATGTATCCTAAGTATCCTAGCATAACTTTCGGCACGTTCCCTTTTTCTCTGTGGGGCGAGTTCTGGGACTATTTTGTATGTGTTTTTGTAACTAAAACTAAAAGAAAAATATACGAATATTTTATTATTTTCAGAAAATAAGACAAAATTGGCCTTAATTTGACAGATGCATAAACTTAATTATTTGAAAAAAATTACTTAAAATTACTTTATGATTTAATTGTATTTAAACAAAAAATAAGCCCATCGTGAAAAGGAGATATTTTTCCAAAAATTCTCAGGTTTTCGAAAAAAATACCAAATTTAAAATAAAAAGGCCAGAAAAATTGCATTTTTACTTTTTATTTGTATTTTTATAAAACAATATTTGCACACAAAAAATCGAAATATTGTGAACATTTTAAAAATCATTACTACGAAAGTACTTAATAATAAGAGTTATTAATTATAATTAATAATAAAGTGAGTTAATATTATTAATTCGCGGGGGTCACACCACAAACAAAAAATATTTGTTGGAATGACCAATATACAGTGTGGCCCATTTAAGATGGAAACACCCCCATAACTTTTTTGTTTGTTACTCGATTTTAATGAACAAGGCTCAAAAGATAGAGAATAAAAAACTATGTAAGCTATAAAAAATATTTTAATGTCACTTGACAGATGCCTACTATAACATTTTCTAGCTCAAAATTCGGAAAAAATTATTAGGGTCGTTTTTTCGAAAAAAATAAGTACGCCACTGAATGCGTCAAAATGGATAAAAACCAAATTTCATTAAAAACGAACTATTTCAGACAAGTTTATTTTACCACGTTATAAAAATAAATTTTCAGCATGATTTTTTGTTTTGTATCAATTATTTTTATTCAAATGTAAAGGTTGGACTTTAAAACTCTCTCAGTACAATCTAAAATGTAATTAGAGATGTAAAAAAACGGGTTTTTTTTTCAGATGTGAAAAAAAACCTAGAAAAAAACGGTTTTTTTTTTGTTTTTTTTTCAAAATGAAATTTTGAGTAAAATGTATATTAATAATAAAGTGAAATGTAGAATATATTACATTTTTCATTATTGAAAATTTTGACCAAGACTAAAAATCTAATTTATTATTATTTGGTAGTTTCCACATTAGAAACCAATAGCAATGTAAAACTTCTACACTAATACAAAAAATTAAAGGATAAAAAAAATTTGTTTGCAATTTTTCGGATAGCTGTATCTTTGTTAAAAATGGTCGTATTGGAGCCGTAACAAAAGCAATTTAAAGCTTGAAGTTTATAGTTTTGAGATTTTTAGATGAAAAACGTGCAACGCTCAATCCTAACAAATACCGTAATAAAAAAAATCGATTTTTTTGCTTTCTTTTTTGGTCCACGGAATGTTGTGACTGAATAAAATTTAATTCATTTTAACATTTAATGTTCTACAAGAATTTGCTAAGTATTGTTTTTTTGAAAAAAAAAATTCCATACTCTAGATGAATTTAAAAAATCATAAAAAAGTACTTTTGGTAGCTTTTTGAAAAATCACGCGCTGAATCAAAAATATTATCTGTAGTTACTTTTTTTAGGACCAAATCAAAACAAGCGCGGCCCTTATTGGTCAAATCGGTGGTTGTGGCGCGTGCATAGCGCGAGACTATTTATATTGACTAATTGTCATTTAATGGCTAATTTTAGTCCATGGAAACATAAAAAATTAGGCAAATGGGACTAATCTTGAAAAAAAACCTAAAATGTGAAAAAAAAACCATTTGAAAAAAAAACAATGAAAAAAAACCTGAAAAAAAAACAAAAAAAACTGACCGTCGCATCTCTAAATGTAATACAAGTAGAAATGTCTAAAGCTTTTTGCTGATATTTGTAATAGTTATTGCCCAAACAAGATAAATTGAGTATGTTTTTCTTGAAATTAGGGCGTTTTGGAAGAAAATGACATCTTCCGTAACGCGCAAGCCGGCGTTCTGATCTCGACGCAGTCGCACCCGATCCTCAAGCGCAACCGCATCTTCGACGGCCTGGCCGCCGGCGTCGAGATCACCAACAACGCCACCGCCACGCTGGAGCTGAACCAGATCTTCAACAACCGCTTCGGCGGGCTGTGCCTGGCGAGCGGCGTGCAGCCCATCGTGCGCGGCAACAAGATCTTCAGCAACCAGGACGCCGTCGAAAAGGCCGTCGCCAACGGCCAGTGCCTCTACAAGATCTCCAGCTATACGTCGTTTCCGATGCACGACTTTTATCGCTGTCAGACGTGCAACACCACCGACCGCAACGCCATCTGCGTGAACTGCATCAAAACTTGCCACGCCGGGCACGATGTCGAGTTCATAAGGCATGATAGGTGAGTGTTTTTGTTTTTTTTTCAATCAGTGTTGGGATGATTTAAATCAATTGATTAAAAAAATTATATTACATACATTCTCTAACAGTACTTTTAACACTTACGGATTGATTTGTTTTACTCAGTTTTAGCCAATTTATGTTTTATCTGTAAATTGTTTTTGAAATTTGAGAATATTTTAAATTTATGAAATACATAAATTTAATGTTATAAAATAGTACAAAAGACTGACATGAACTTAAATATAAACTTTGTACTGACCTTTTGATTTCGCTGTAGTACTGCAGTTAACTAGATTTAAATTTTGCGTACAGTGCCCATAAAACATTCTCTTCTCTTTTACTGTGAAAAACTGCTTCTATATCGATTGCAAGTCTATTTTCAAGGGATAAATTTTGATTTAAACAAACAAATTTAAGATTTTAACGCCGGTAGATTCTCAAGTTACAAATTATAACGGAAATTCCAATAAATACAATTTTCACTTTTTGTACCTTTAACATTTCCCGTGTAAGAGTGTTTAATACTTTGTGATATTATTTTGCAATTATAGTAATAACAAATATCAAAGGATAAACTATTTTTTTAACATAATCATATTTTGAAGTTATTTTAATATTATAAAGTATCAATAATTGTTAAGTTTAATTAAATTAATAACGGGCAATGTTAATGGTGAAAATTACATCAAAAATGTTTATTGGGATGGTTACTTTATTTTCATATGGATGTCGCTTTATACAAATATTTAATTTAAATCATTTTTTAGATATTATTAAGTATTTGTCATTTAATAAAGCACTCGCTGGCAAGCTCGCTCATGCCTCATGCTCATTCATTACTAAAATGGCGTTTATCAAACTTGATACATAATATACTATTAAAAATACAATACATTTTTTTTTGCTATACAGGGTGAGTTTTAAGTTGAAGCGTTCCTTTTAACAGTGTGTAGAAATCAGCTAGACAAATAAATATTTTAAGTAACTTTTTTATCAAAACTCAAAAATAAAAAAGTTATAGCCCATCAAAGTTTAATTAAATTTTAAGCCGGTCCTGGCTATTGTTAACGAAAAACATAACCATAAAAATATCAAAATAAACAATGCAAAATGTCATATTTGATAACAAACATAACCATTTAAATCAAATTGACATTTTGCAATAAAAAATGTCATTATTTACTTAAGTTGCAGCATTCGCATTTTGACGACACTCTCCATAAATTAGTAACATTTCCACTAATTCATTATTGCTATAATTATAAACCATTTTTAACAATAATTGAGGCACAAAAAAACTTAGGTAAATAATGACATTTTTCATTGCTAAATGTCATTTTGATTTAAATGGTTATGTTTGTTGTCATAGATGACATTTTGAATTGTTTATTTTGTTATTTTTATTTTTATGGTTATGTTTTTTGTTAACAATAGCCAGGACCGGCTCAAAATTTAATTAAACTTGGAAGGCCTATAACTCTCTTATTTTTTAGTTTTGATAAAAAAGTTACTTAAAATATTTATTTGTTTATCTGATTTCTACACGCTGTTAAAAGGAACGCGTCAACTTAAAACTCACCCTGTATATTGAGTAGTTATGCCCACGAGACCAACGAGACGATACTTAAAGTTTTGTCTTGTATCAAGTCTCGTCTCGCAGCTTCCAGGCTCGTCTCGTCTCGTTTCTTGTACGAGAGTCTTGCAAAAGTATCGAAATCTCGTCAATGACGGTCATGCATAATCTTGTTCCAATCCAATACGGTCAAATTAACGGCACGTCGCAGTTATTGTACTTAGGGTCCCTAACTTACAATAAAGAATTCAAAATAAGTTAAATATTTTAAATTCAATTTTTACCTTATAATATAAAAATTGAATATTTGGATTACATAGATTATAAAATATTCAATAAATTGCCACTGCCTCACCAAAAGAAAATTTTTGCAAAATCTTTTCAGGAACTTGTACCGACGAGCAGTATTTCACTGAACGATCATTAAAAATATTAAAAACAATTTGGGAGCATGTTTTAATATGTTATTTACGCGAAGACGAGCAATATTAATCGTATAAAGAAGTATTAAAAGATAATCTAAGTAAGAATAGTTTAACCGCCTGCCGATAGGGGCGGCTTGACTGCCATATATATGTAAAGTATACACGCGAGTTGGTTCTAGTGCACCATGTGTATGATTTTGTATACACGCACAATAAAATAATTTCAGCTACGTGTATGTGAATAGAGGATGCTGAACATGGGTTTTATATGTTAGAATGATTGTCGTGGCGTGGATACACTGGTATTCACTTAGCAATTTTGTCAAAAAATGAGCCAAAAATGAATTATTTTTGAAGTCACACGCATAATTAAAATGTCGATGATGAAAATGGAAAAAAGAATTTAATCCATTATTATTGATTTGACCGACAATATTTGTCAATATTTTTATAAAATGTGTGTGAATTTCAATTTATACACGTGTACATTTTTGTAATCCTACGCAGCGGCGCGCCGCGTGTTTGTTATAGTCGCACGGGGGTAGAAGGGAAAAATAATAAAAAAATGTGCTATTGTATTATAACACCGGTGGCATATTTTTATTAGGAATTAAATGATAAAAAACATTGTGGCCCAGCTGACCCCACTTGAAAAAGAACTCACGGCAGTTAACGTGTTAAAAGCCATTCTTGCTGCTTTGCAGAAATATTTAGACGAGACCATGCGAGACTTGTAAACGTGACTCTCGTGGGCACCACTAAAAATGTTCGCCTCCGAGTTGTTTAAGAAACTAAAAATACAACTTTTTGTCCCATAAATTTTGTTAATATTTTGCTTAGTTTTCGAAAAAAATCCACTTCATTGCATATCTTGTGTGGTCCAGGAATATGCAATTAAGAGGATTTTTTTCTATTGAAAAATTTCAAAATTCAGGAGACAAAAAAGATGTATTTTTGGTTGAATAATTTAAAAAAATATATTATATTAAAAAATATTCGTTAATGTGCCGCTCGGGACGCCACTCGACTTAATAAAAGTAATCAAGTTAAAGCTAAATTAGATCCTACAAATCACTACAAATAACAACAAAATCGGGTAAAGGATATTTAAAAGAGATTGTTTTTGCGGAACCATGTTTATATGACCTTTTTATATTAAAATCACTCAAAGAATAGTCTGTTAAATTTATTGTAGGTACATAATTAAGTAACACCCTGTATAATATATTACCTACAACAGTTTTGTAATTCGTGCGTTTCGCGGGCTTGAAATGGCCCTACAGAATTATTCTTGACTTTTTTGAAAAAATTAATTTAGAACTATCTAAAAATTTAGTAGATTTCCCTAAAACCGCCAGAAATCTGTGTACAATGTCCTAAAATAGTGTTAAAGCTAAAGTTTAAGAGATTGTCCTAAAACGATCTAAAATTTAAAAGTTTACTAACCAATGCTTATTTTGGTCTAAGGGTTTGCATAATTTTAATTCGGCATAAAAGTTATAATTGTCATAATTTTTTTAGATTTTTCTGTGATTGTGGCGCTGGTACGTTAACGAACCAGTGCCAGCTGCAAGGGGAGCCGACCCAGGACACGGACACGTTGTACGACTCTGCCGCCCCGATGGAGTCGCACACTCTCATGGTAAACTAAAAAAAACATAACCCAACCTGCCAACACAATAGACAGACAGCAATTTTTTGAATTTTGTCTATGACAAACCAAAAAAAACCCTCAATCCGTACTATCATGATTGTCTTCTTATGGCCAAGGAACATGTGTTGTGTGATTTGATGTATCAAAAAATATTTATTGATGGCGTGTTATAGTGTTCAGAAACCAAGTGCTTAACTGTATGGACTGCAGTAGACAATTATATTACAATTTCGATGTTTGGCATTTGTTTTTGCACAAAAAACAACCGTATGCTTGTGGTTATTGATGTTTGGAACAAAAAAAATTGTATATGCTTAGCAATATACTGTCGATTGTAATTTTAGCACCGACTGAGTTTACATGATTTTCTAGAGTTAGACAATCAAAACACTTGCGCTTCCATTTTCCAGCTCTTTTTTACTCCTTCAAGACGTGATGGTAGACTGATCCACATTAAGTTATTTTATATTTACCACCATTTTTCCCATTCCACATTCTTTGGGAAATTAAATAAAATTTTATTAAGTGTAAAGTTTTTTCTTAAAGTTTCTCAAAGAAAGGCAGTTCTATAATTACCAGAAAAAAATGGCGAGAAATGTAAAATAACACCTCTTAATGGAGAACCCCATATTCTACATTGATTTTGTTTATTTTAGAAACAATATCTTGTCTGTATACACACAGGAACTCTAAATGAATGAATTACAACAATTAAGGTAATTGTTGGTTTCCTACAAAATTATTTTTCGTTTCAAATTGGTCCAGTACAAGGTCTACCATTGTGCATAATCATTTTTTTACATTCGTATGCTTTAATTCTTGTAAATATAACTTTTATATAATTGGCAATTTTTTTGAATGTTTTTGAATCTCATTTGTTATGATTTATATCCAATTGAATGGGTAATATTATTTTATGACTCACTGGCAATATAAATTTAAAGGTTCAGTTTTAACGCAAAATACACACTCATTTTAATTATAAATTGTTCCATACTATTAATTGTTAGTATTTTGATTATGTTTAAGTTTAATACTCTCACAAAAATTGTTTCTAATTAATTAAGTTTAATTATTTTTGGTATATAATTATGACTTGGTTTATTAAGTATAATTACCTAATTTAAGCTATGTGTAGTTTTTATAATTCTACATATCTTTACTGATATGAAAGATGACTATTTTAGTTAAGTTAACTAGGTTTTATAGGAACACCACTATTTAGTGCATTATATTCGAACTAAAGTCATAAATAAATACTAAAAATTCCCGCATCTACAGTTATTTATTTTTATTTATATTGATAAATATTTGTACTTGAATTAAAAGGTTGCAGTTGACAAACTGATTTAAATCTCAAGTACAAAAACAATTGTAAAACATGCCTTAAAAATCTAACCTGTAAATACATATTACTTTTAAATTTTATAGGTTTTCTGGCGTTTAATGATTATTTGCAGCTCGATAAGGAAATTATACGTTTTAACAACAATTTATCATGACAATATATCGATAAAAATATCACTAAAGCAATTTAATTACGGGTATTTTGAAAATCCCTAAGGGGGATATATACACGGTGCACCAACTATCCCTCTATGTATGGGTATCTTTTTTATTTGAAAAGCTACAAGGTTGGTTAAATTAGAATACAGGGTGCCCCAAGTATCCTATGTATGGGTATCTTTTTTATTTAAAAGGCTACAAGGTTGGTTAAATTAGAGAAAAGTGAGACTTCTAGACGTAGGAGAGGTATTATGGGGGGTCCAGCTATAGAAATATACCTGTATTTTTGGACAATATCGCATACCTTTTAGCGAGGTATTTTGTGATTTGTCAAGTGAATTTTTCACATTGTTAAATGGCGGAAGTAAATTGCTGAAACCGTGGGACGTTAAAACTTGGTATCAAGACCAGTTCCCCACAGAGAGAACGAACAAGGAATAGAAGAAAAAGTAATAAAAAACAAATTAAAACCCTGAAAAAAGTAAGTTTCACAATGTGATGTCATGTATACATTAGGGTCGAAAAAAAATCCTGCCAAAAGTTTTGTTGGTAATAAAATTAGTTTCTCTAGTAATCTGCCTCATAAAAATTTACGTAATAATAGAGAAAAACTGTTTTTAATATCTGTATATACACGTATGTATACTATTTTCCATTTAAACATTGATAGCCATAAGGGCCAGGCAGAATTTTGTTTTGTTTAAATACACCCTAGTAATAATGTCTTACAAGTCTCAAGAGAAATCGTGCCGGCGTTGCCAAATATCACAGGTCAAACTTGAATAAAAACCGTTTTTCTCTATTATCTTGAGAACTACTAGTCCTATATAAATCGCTTTTCAGTTTTATACAGAAACAAATTTTATTACCACTAAAAATTACGTAAAATCAATATTTTATGAGTTGATAAAAAAAACTGTTTTTTGTCACCTTTGGTCTATGATATTTGGCGACGTTTAAGACATTATTACTTATGCCCATATAAACAAGATTCCGAAGAATAATTTTGACTGGGATTTTTCCGAAGTTAAACCATAATAAATTAATTAATTTGACCAATTAGCAAAAAATTAAAAATTGAAAAAAAAAATCTGTGATTCTTTTCGCCTACTTTTTTTTGAGTTACCACCCCCATATTTCTTCCGCCATATTGGAATTTTACATGGTTAGATAAAAAAATCAAGAAATTCAATAATGTAAACACTAAACTTGAACATACACATTTATTTTCATTTTCATTCAATTTCTTATCTACTATAATTTGAGTTATCACCATCTCTTGTTTTTATAAAAGCTTACTTTTTTCAAAATATCCAGGAAAACGATTTTTGGTTTTAACAGGTTTTTAGTTTTTTCATAAATTCTGAGAACCGCTCTCCTTTTACAATTTTTAAAATTTCATTTTAACAGGCAACTTTTCTTCGATTTAACCGACCTTTGTAGCTCTTCAAATAAAAAAGTTCCCCTATGTATACACATAGAAGGATACTTAGTGCACCCCATAGATCTATATGAAATTTAATAGAATTTTGTTTGCCAATATTGTGGATTTAGTTTAAATTTTGTGAATTTTTTTATTTATAAAAATAAACAATACGCTCATTGGCAAAATAACATTATATTTAGGGTGACCCCTTAATCCTCGTATCATTGCAGAACACCAATGACAGACTTATTTAATCAGCTGCAACCGCAACATAATTAATAATGTATTAGTAAATATAGCTTTAAAGTATATCCCATGTAAATAAAAAAAAAATGTGTGATAGGTATTTGAATGTGTCTCTGCATGTTTGAAATTATTAAAATAAAAAAACTATGCAGGTTTTAGGTAAAACTTAAGTCAATTTACAAATGTAGTCCTTTGGACAGGACAAATTTTACACAATGTTGTGACATGACATGTAGCACCCGCCTGTCCATTGGTCCTTATGTATTAAGACTCTCTGTCTGCTAAAGGACTCTGTAAAATATCAGTATTTATAATTTTGCGTTAAGGATTGATTGATTGATTGAAATAATGTGTTTTGGTGTGCGTAACTTGTAAATATAATGGCAAAAAAATAACCGAGAGCTTTCAAAATATGATTTCACAATTTCACGGCGGACTTGGTGCCACATCGCTCCAAGTCTGCGCTGTTACATAAAACTGTATAGATTTGTTTTAATGGTGCCATACCCCCCACAGAAAAAATACTAGGTAGGCGAATATTATCCCATAGGTAATTATTATAATGGTTAAGAGTGAAGTGCTTGTTTTTTAATACCATTTTCTTATGTTGATGTGAAGTAGGTAAATTTTAGTGAAGGTTTATTTTCTTGTCTATTATAAAGGATATTCAATTAAGGGGTGTTATTTTGAATTTGTCGGGGGTGTTTCTGTAAATTTGCGACTTTACTTTCCATAGAAAGAAATTAAACAATCAAGCACGGAATTTTCGAACCTAGTGTGCTGTGGAGAATGCCGTGCTCTGATTGGTTTATTGCTTTCTATAAAAAAGTCATGAAATTTATAGAATTTTTAAAGAATGACAGTTCTGTCATTGTTAGAAAAACAATTGCAATAAATTTAAAATAACACCTCCTGATGTAAAACTTTGATGATGAAAACAACGATCAATTGGCGGTTCACTTTATTAAGTAAGAGGAATTTCTGTAACGTAATTTATATAGCTAAAATAAATTAACTAAGAGTTACCAATGACGCGTTGATCCTAACACATTGGTAGCCTTAATTATTTTTATATACTTGGAAAATAGCTGTTTTGGCCTTTACGGTGTGTAGTTAAAATTTAAAAAAGTGCGGTCACTAAAACTTGTACAATGTCAGCTTTTTTAACTGGTGGAAAATAACTGCTGACACTGTATGAGACACTAAAAGCATTATTAAATGTGAATGGTTATTATAATTTACTATGACTGAAGTCTGTTGTATATCATATTTGTAAAATATTGTCCTTTTCTATTATTATACTAATTCTAAACTTAAGTTAGGTTAAGTACTACTTAATCGTCAGGCTTATAGATCTACTGACAGGTCATTTTGCGTAGATAGCTAGCACTGTATTGTACTATGTACATTATATAAAAATATATGGCTAAACAATTCAACTTTTTTTTTATTTTAACCCTTCTTGTTTTTGTAATTTGTCCCTTACAAACAAGTCTTTGTTTTAGGGAAATCCACAATCCACACTGTGGTGTAATCTAGTGTCCTGGATTACCCAGGATTTAGGCTTAAAAGAGTTTCTTAAGATAGTTATATTGTTCACTAAAACATAGGGTTTCTCAATTAGCAGTGATAAAGACGAGTCCATGGGTAAACATCTTGTTTGTAGAATTTGGTTTGTAACACGGAAGGAAACTCTAGACAGAGGAATAGAAATAATCAATTTAAAGAATACCTTGCAACAAACTCTTACCCCAAACACATAGTCGAGGATCATTACCAATCAAATCACAACACCCAAGGACAAAAAACTGAATCAATTTACAAATTCTAAAAATTCCATATCAAAGTTGAAAGTGAGAAAATAAGAATCGCTAAGAATTGCCTATAGCCTATAATAAACTCACAGGGAATCAGGTACACACAGTTAACGATCGATCGTGTCTTGAAGTTCATCTAGTTCGTTATTTTTAGAATATTTTTTCAATGTAATGTCGTAACTATATGCTATAGGTACGACATTACATTAAAAAAACATTCTAAAAATAACGAACCAGATGAACTTTAAGACAAGATCGATTGTTAACTGTGTGTACCTGATTCACTGCGAGTTTATTATATATGGAGTCGTCATTAAATAGGTAACCTTTTTTGGTAATTTCACCTACAGAAGTAGCCAAACATGCACGAGAACATTCCAGATAAGATCCCGACTTATGTCTGCCTATCCATCTGATTTGTTTTTACTTTTCACTCAATGATAATAAGATGATTTTTTTGAACGAATTTATGCACAAACACATCGTGCATATATTGCCTACCTTAAGTCGGCATTCTTAAAACAGTCATTAATAATTACACGATTTCGTTAGGGACTTTTGGAACCTTATTTCTAGTGCCCATACCTATATATAAAAAAATATTTTGAAGAAAAATCTTGAGGACAAGTTGCCACCTTGTATTTAGTGTATCTTTCACACTTCAAAAAGATGAATTTTCATGTTTATTATCGTAAAAACTGTGGATTTTGAACCAGTAAAAAACAATACCTACTAAGTAAAGTGTTTATTTTTTATAATTTAAATAATATTATAAGTAGATGACAAAGATAAAATAAAGTATCCTAAAATTGAATATTATATTTTCAAAAGACATAAAATCTTTGAGTTTTCCATTTCATTTTTTATCTTTTAAAAATATAAGATTCAATTCTTATCACAAAAATAAAAGTGAGGTAAGTATTAAATATTTACCTACTCCATTAAGAGTTCACAAAAATATTAACATAATATATATAAAAATAATTTTTGTACTTAGGTAGATGTAATAATTAATTTAAACTCTTTAAAATAATATTTATAACAATCAAAACCTGATAAAATTATAAACAAAACTTTTTTACATTTTACACATTTCGAGATCGATTACACAAAGTAATATTAATTTTCGATATTGTATATATATATATACTTATATATAAATTGTAAAGCTGATTTTTCAAAAAACGATATTTAGTGTGTTACCACAATGTAAGTACTTTAAATCATATAATTAATACTAACAAACTCATACCAAAAATATAATACAAACATTTACAGTTGATAACAAATAGTACTTTTTAGTTATTGCAAAAATTATTGTGACATATTGACTACTATCAGTGGTTACCACTGAGTGGTAACTGAAAAACTAATTAAATATTTTGGACACATTTAAGAGCTCATACCTATTTGTAATAAGTATATGCTCTATGGTTTAACCTTATAATCCTATTTAGCACATTTATTTGAAGTAGGAATATTTACAAAAGTAATAAAGCCTTATACTTGTAATTATTTCTAAAATTATTAATGCCCATAAAAGGTCTTTACAAAAACTGCCTCAACTGACAAAATCATATTCCCTAGACCAAAAGAAGCTGATTTAAGTAAAGCGTATTTTGGTCTAAGAAATATGTGGTAGACCTCTTACAAACACCCAGTATAATTAAATCACTTCAATTAAGTATGTGATATCTTAATCAATAAAACCTTTAAATATAGGACATCTACAAACGATATTTTTACGGTTAGTACCCTGTTTTTAATAAATATAAAAATTGACTGTCAATAATTATTGATTAAAAAATTCATTGTAGGTAATTGGGCTTTACAAATAAAGCTTTTTAACTTTAGTCTATTAAATTCTACCTAGTAAAATTCGGCAGTAATCATCGTTATTAACAATAAATAATACTTAGGATTAGAACGAGTTCTGGTCATTTCTTATAGGGCTAGAAAAACAGATAGTTAAACACAACATATACACATTTATATGTTTATCATATTGCTTCCATTCAGTTCTGTAATTTCTTTATTATTCGGTCTGTCGGCGAAAAGATTCGAAAAACATCTGGCCTGAAATTAAAAAAAAACATTAAATGTAAACAACCATACTTAGATTCTAAAGGGGCATTCTTATGTGAAAAATCTAAAAAGAAGGAAATTTTTTATCAAAAAATTGTGGAGCTGAATCCAATTATGAGATTTCATTAAATATACGGGTGATTCCAGATTTATACCAAGTTATATTAATCGATCAAAGAAGTTTAAGAATATATTGCAAAAAATAACAAATCTGGTATTGGTAAATTATTTTTCTTAAGTCTAAATATTGGAAGATAAATTAAAATTATTTTATCTTCGAGCGGTCTATAAATTAAAGTTTATTGACGTCAACACTCCACATAAAAGTGATCGATTATAATAATTATTATGGTCAGTGATAAGCCGATTTTATAAGGTGATTTGGACCAATAATAAAATTTGACTTCTGTCAGGCAGTTCTAAAGCTAGTAATCTATGATTCACAAATTTAAAAAAGCGGCAGGGAGTTTTTGTGGCTAGCACGACAATTATTACTTTTTTAACAATAAAAACTATCATAGATTAATAACCCCTGGTTATTATTACCTTTGAATTCTGTATTACATTCAGGTCATATTTTACCATTAGGCGGAATAGGCTCGTGTCTAGCGCCCAATGGCAAGAGGGGACCAAAATAGAGAACATAAAATCGTAAACATTAAAAAACTTATTTCCATCGTATTATCTTAAAAACGAAAAAAGGGGCGCGACGCTTAATAAATTATGGCAACAATGTAAGATTGGTTAGATTGATAGTTTAAGTTATCATTTTATGTTATAAAAATATGTTATTATTTTTCTATTATTTTATAGTAGTAGTACGACAAAATTTAAATCAAGTGGTATTTTTTATGTTGTGATACCACTATAGATTTTGTATAATGTATAATCGTCAAACTGAAAGACCAAGATTTTTTTCCAATATATATTGAATATAAGATAAATACAAATCTGTTATTTTATTTTAAAAAAATTAGAAATAAAAAATAATTTTTTTTTTTAATATATAATTTTTGTATTATTTAAAATTTACAATATTTAAAAAATATATTTTATAACAAAATAGAAAATTAAATATCTGTATATGTTAAAATAATAAGAATGGCTGTATAAAAAAATGTAATGACGTGATTTCGTAAAACACGGATACGTTTTTTAACCTATATTTTCAAAATCTGTTAAAATTGTTTATGGGAGGGAAATCGTGTTGAACTGTGTTATACAGTTATTTAAAAAAAAATATTCTTTCGCTTTTTGTAAAAAAAGTTGTTAATTTTCGTTTATAATTTTTTTTTTAATATATAAAAATATTAAAAACATCATGTCACCTGATGTTTTATTTTTAATTTGCAATATAAAAACATGTGCAAAATATTTTAAATCAGGGGGCCCAGTAAAGATTTTTGCGGTGGGGGGGGGGGCAAATCAAAGTCTCTAAATGTTTTAGAAGACGCTGTTTTATTTTTTTATTATGTGTTAATTAACCCTAGAGTGGTATTTTCAATTAGATAAAAAATATCACAAGACTTTATTCTGCGAATTAATAATATCATAGCAGATATTTTAAAATTAGATTTAATTTTTATGCTAACAGGATTGTTTTAATTTAGTAAAGGGGCATTCCACGTTACTCGGTAATATTTGTCCCGGCCGTCGCAATTAAAAATTGTGAGTAAAAACCACAAGTTATTAAATTATTATTAATAATATTTTTATTGTGCTTATAACTTGTGTTAACAATAGTATCTAAGGAAATTAACCGTAAGATAAAGTTAATTAACAATTGAAAAACCGGCCCTTAGTGTTTTGGAAATATTTTGTTAATATTATGTTTTTGCAACAAAATACATAAAGTTTATCATTTCGCTGAAACCACCCATACATTATAAGGAACATTAAATTACTGATATTAAATTCTTGATTATGTCGGACTTTTAATATCTTGGACGATATTTTCAAGTGCACATTTATCAACCGTATGTTTTTTTTTAAGTTCTAATATTCATGCACAACAAAATATACACTAATAAATATAAATGATGATGTACCTGAAATGTGTGGTATGTGTAAATGTAGTGGTTTTAGTTTTTAAACTTCTGTGTACTCGCCCCTAGCACTTATTTTTGCTTCAACCCTTGTAAAAAAAGTTGCCTGTAACATGAAAACATTTTTTATACGTCTTGTGCCAAAAAACATATAATTTTTCTGGGCAAGTTATGTTCATTTTTAATTCGTTGGCAACTCTATTGAGTTCATTGACCATGAAATACAATACCACTATTCTTTGGCAATGCCGTTTGAATATGGCGTGTCGGAAATGCCTATACATACGAGGGGTTGGTGTTTAGCAGCTTACGAATCCTCATTTAAGGTATTTGATTTAAATAGTAAGTAGAGGCACCAACTACTTTAAAATGAATTAGGCACTTTGCATGCTTTTTTTCGTTCATTTACTTACTGTAATTATAGCACTGGATGATCCGATAGCAAACCCAGTCAGCACGTCGCTCCAGTGATGTTTGTAGTCAGATACACGTGTCATTCCAATGAATAGGGAGTATAGTACTGCCAAGAAAGACAGCATGTGCCTTAATAGTTTTGATCTGTCCCAAGTCATTCTTCTATGCAAATAAATCTACAATAAAAGTATTGCTACAGTCTTTTTATTACATTTAGTATAATTGAGTGGTCCAGGGCAAACACCAAACAATAAAAAGTCACCTTTATTTAATTAATATTTTTTAAATTTTATTTTTCCTACTGGCAGCAATTTACAAAATATATGCAGAGTGAAATTTTGTTTAAACCATAAAGTTAATTTATAAGAGTGTTTTTTCTGACTTTCTGAATTTTATTGTTTGGTTCTTGCACTCGAGCCCTTATTTTAAGATATCTTTTTGGACAAGATGTCTATTTGAAGACATGGATGAAAGAAAGGCTTTGGCCTTAGTATTTTTAATCGCGACGTTTCGACTGGTTAGTCTCTTCAGGTGAATACTGAATAAGTTAGGTAGCTACAGGTCTATTTATACTTAAGCCGGCTGCTCAGGAGCATCCAGTTGCAACGAAGCGGATTGGAGCAAAAACCTTTCTTTCATTTAACAAACATATTTTCAAATCATATATAAAAAAAATTTAAACGTCTTTTGGACATTGAAACATGTCTTCATGAATTCACATTAGGGTTGCCAGATTTAAAAATTGATTTTACAGGACAAATGTACAAGCAGGATAATTGCCAAAAATCAGGACAAATGTTTTGTTTGTTTTAAAAATATTTAATAAACTTTAAACCCTACTAAATTATTAATATACATATAAATAAAGTATTACATTTTTAAGCAAAGGAGTTACATTTAATAAGGGAATATAGCTACAAATAATAATAATATATTAATTTACTGTACTAATATAACTGTCTTAATGCAAAAGTCAGTTTAAGCTGGATAACTGTTGAATGTTAGATTATACTAAATATAAAGGCAACGAAAATAAAAATTCGACAGTAGCTGGCCACAAATATTCGCGTGTGTGTTCGTGGCGTAAGAAATTAGTGGATGTGGATAAGTAAGATGGCGGTTTGCCTATTTCTTTACAACCTCATTGATATGAAAGGGTTTGACGAGTAGAATACTGCCGTACTTAATAAAAACGCCGTAACCAACAATTTTGAGATTTTTGTTTTACTACTAGAACAATTCATCCTGCGTCTATCCCCGGTACTCAAAAAACCGTATCTATATATATACGGTTTTTTGAGTACCGGGGATAGACGCAGGATGAATTGTTCTAGTAGAAAATGCCTTAAAACAAAAATCTCAAAATTGTTGGTTACGGCGTTTTCATTAAGCACGGCAGAATAGTACAATAAGGGAAGTGACAAATTTTCAGAATTTTAAATTTTTTAAAATTTACAGTATCACTAAAGTTATTTTATTAATTTTATTTAATACGTTTCTTTAATAGTTTCATAGTTTTTCCCGCTTACATAAATTATAAAGGGTGTCATCAAGTAATTACTTAAGTTTCATCGCTTGGAGGGATGATGGTTAACACCAAAGTAAGTATTGTTTTATTTTAATATAAACTACACTGTTTAAAAGTTTCACTATTTTATTTAAATATGACAATTGTTTCGCTACACAGTAGCATCTTCAGATCGATCTGAAGATGCTACTGTGTAGCGAAACAATTGTCATATTTAAATAAAATAGTGAAACTTTTAAACATTGTAGTTTATATTAAAATAAAACAATATTAACATGGAGTTTCATCAAGTAAAAGTAGAAACAATTAATTACCAAAGTAAGTTTTTCACTTTTGCATTAGTGCTACAGTTTTTGAATAAAAAAAATCATTAAAATTGGCGCAATCCTTACGCATTTGGTTTGTTACCACTGGTTTCGATTGTACAGTCGGTCAGTTACAATAATCGACATTTATCCTGTTGAGATACCTAACTAACATTTAACGTTAGGCAGGAGACCTTTTTTAAACCGATGTCCTGCGAAACCCAGCCATGGCAACCCTACTTTGAATATATAGACATTTTTTAATTAAAAATATAAATACTTACTGCAAAATATAACATACAATATAGGGAGAACGAAGAATGTCCTGAGGGAAATGATAGTCTGCAACAACAAATATAGGTTAATTTGTTTTGTTTCTTTCTATAATATAACTGCTCTCCAGAGTCTGGAGTCTGGGGTCCAGACACAATAAAATAAAAAAATATTACGAATTTAAAGTCATTTATTTTATAGGTAGGCAATCAAATTTGAATATCCCATATTTTAACTAAAATGTTAGGTACACCCATTGCAGATTCTTAAAATAATCAATGTTAAGTAATATTGCCAGGATATATATTTGGCTAGACTTTGTCTATTTAAGAATATTGTATTTGACTGTTTTAACAAATTAAAATTATTTGACAAAAATATTAATAAAATAATATACAGACTGTCGTAGGTTTTCGTAATAGTTTTAATATTCTTTAATATCATTTAAAATTAAAAAAACAAACAAATTGGTATGCATCTAAAATAAGTGTGAGAAATTTTATATGTTTTTATTATTATCTATTAAAGAAGCAAGATATGCAAAAAAATCAAGAGAAAAAATGTAATTATTAATTTTGACCAGCTTCGTGAGTAAAATAAATTCGGAAACGATAAAGACATGTTCGGAAAAAATAGACCACGGTATAAGAAACAAAAATACTTTAAAATTTAATAAATATATAAAATATAAAAAGCATTTAAAAATATTACATACACAAAATAATTATATACAGATACAGAGTCGCAAACAAATGGGTCACACTGTATATAATATTATATATACTATTCTTGGATAAACACAGGCCCGTGCGCAAGGGGGGTTTGGGGGTTCAACCCCGCCATTAAAAGTATTATATAATATGTACTAATAGTATATTTGCAAGTTTTTTAAAAGCCATTTTAGTAACGAGTTTTATTAGGCACGAGCGAAGCTTGCGAGCGAGTGTTTAATAAAAACGAGTGTCTAGAGAAGAATATAAAACGAGTTGCATACTATATTTTATCTACGACGAAGATAAAAAAGAATTTAAGGCAAATTTTATTTTTTAAACATTTGACTTATGTAAACTGTCAACGGATTTAACCTCACTTTTTACCAAGCTAACTTCAGCCCGTGACTAAAATGCCCAAAAGCAACTGTTGATAACTTCAGCCCGTGACTAAAACGCCATAAAAGTCACAGCTTATCAATGGTGGATGAAGTAAATTATGTAATTTTCATAATAAAATTCTATATTTATTTTTTTTTACATGAAGTAAACAGTTTGTTTCTTCAGCAACACTTACACTGACCTTACATTGATTTTTCAACAGAGCTGGGATATTGTTCTTCGTGTTCAGGGAAACCAAAACTTCGAAAAATGCGAAAAAAAGAGGTTTTCTTTCTAATAGCCAATTTAGGAAATATAATAACGAACATTTTCATATATTTAGACGCGATTTTCGTTTATTCTTCTTTCATTTTCGCATTTACAACAAAAATTGAAAATTGTCAAAAATGATATTTACTAATTCTGCCGTGCTTAATGAAAACGCCGTAACCAACAATTTTGAGATTTTTGTTTTACGGCATTTTCTACTAGAAAAATTCATCCTGCGTTAATCCCCGGTACTCAAAAATATATATGAAATATAGATACGGTTTTTTGAGTACAGGGGATAGACGCAGGATGAATTGTTCTAGTAGAAAATGCCGTAAAACAAAAATCTCAAAATTGTTGGTTACGGCGTTTTCATCAAGCACGGCAGAATTAGTCTTAAGAGATGCTGAATAAAGAGGATGTATAAATTATTTAATAACAAGATTTGAAAATCGACGTTATGATACACACGGTGCTGTTCTGAGAGGTGATTTTTGGACTTTCTGTGAAACCTAATTTTTTTTTATATTCTTGTTAATTAGGTCATAACTAAAATTTTAAAAGCAAAATAAAAAAATTTTGACGGTTTGAATTGTTTTAATTGGCTGTTTATTAAAAATATTATGCACTCTTCCAATTATCCAATTAAAACTAGCGATTTAATTTAAATATTTAATATTTGCATAACTAAAAAAAAGGTTTTTAATTTTTTTTATATATTTTACTGTTTTGTTGCAATAAACGTTCAAACTTTTGATCTAACCTTTGACGTATACATTTATGTTCCCTTAATTAATATATCCTTAAAGGTTGCCATGAAACTTAGATCTATTAAAAATTTATTTGACGTAATTTTCAGTATAAGTATTCTATAATTTTTGTTTAGTTTTTAAAGTGTTTTTTATAAACAAAAATGAAAAATTGTAGTAAAAGTAACGAAGAAATTTATAAAATTTAACTAAGGACCGGTTTATTCATCTTTAGTAAAGTTTATCGGGCCGATAACTTTCATGTCTTGGCGATATCTAGTATCCAAGGAAATTATTCGTCAAATAAATCAAAAATGAATAAATCGGCCCTAAATAAAATGTGGCACCCTTAGAATTATTGTTTAATAAATGTATACTATACATTTAACCTTAAATTAAAACTTTAAACGAGTATTACAACAAAACAGTAAAAGATATAAAAAATGTATAGACCTTTTTTTAGGAAATTAACTAATCTTTAATCTGATTTAAAAAGTTATGATAATATTTAAATAAAATCGCAAGTTTTAATTGGATAATTGAAAGTGTGCATACATATTTTTAATAAACATCCAATTAAAACAAAATTAACCGTCAAATTTTTTTTATTTTGCTCTTAAAATTTTAGTTATGACCTAATTAACAAGAATATAAAAAAATTAGGTTTCACAGAAAGTCCAAAAATCACCTCTCAGAACAGCACCGTGTACATAAAAAGTCAATAAAATTGAAACATTATTTTTGACAATATGGCAATTTTTGTTGCAAATGCGAAAATAAACGTGATTAAACAATTTTTCAAGTCTAAATATATCAAAATGTTCGTTATTAAATTTTCTACAACATTGGGGGTAAAATTGGAGTTATCTCTTACGTTTATATTGATTTTCGACGAAGTTCGATATAGATGACGAAAATGAGGTTTTTGTTAGATTTGCTTCTTGGCCTTTTCGATCATATCTTTTGAATGAATCAGTCAAATGGCCTTAAAATTTCCGCAATATTCTATTCTTTAAGAAATAGTAATAATTCTTCATATCTCGTGTATTGTTGTTGATAATTCAGTTTGAATGATAACAAAACCAAGCAATTTTTTTTAATTTATCAAAAAATAGAAAAATGGATATTAAAAAATAAAAAAAAATCTTTGTCTGACCTCCTTTTTTTTGCCCTGGACATGAAAAAAAATATTCCAGGTCTGTTGCAATTTTTTTAAATATAGTGGTATTATTAGTTTAAATGTAAATTCTCCGCAAGGCACTGGTACCTAACCAATTTAGATTTTTTTAAATTTTAATATTGTAAAACCTAAAACCTAAAAATTTACCTTATTTCCTTCATAATTCGTTTGTTATTCCTGTACATCGGGTTGGTGCAATTGTAATCGTCGACATGGTAAATGTTATAATTGGGACTGTGCACATCTTTGCAAACGTCAGGTTCGCACACGTTCAAAAAATGAGGCCGGAATCTGCCGATAGTGTACTTCAGCACGTCCGTGGTCAGTTGCGAGCAGCAGGCGCCGAACGCAAATATTCCTATTGCGCAGTAAGCGTTGACCAGCCAGTTGGGGATTTTAAAGCCCTTTATTATTGTTTCCCTGTTTTCAGGAGGAGGGTTCAACCATTCAGTCAATGTCATCTGAAAAAAAAGATTAATGAGATTTTTTACTACTGTACATATATGTTTCTGAAATGTTTACCGGACGTTTTGTCATGTATAAAATGTATTTAAACGTCGGGTTTTAAACAGCAATTTATTTTTATTTAAATGCTGGCTTCTTTTCAATTTAACAATTTTAAATGTTATATTTTATTTAAAGAGGTAAGAGTAAGAAGTAAAAGGGTACAAGTGCAATTTCACAGCAAACGGAAAATTATAGAAGTGTATAGGATGACTCCGCGTTTGAATATCAAATCTTAAAGTTTTATCATAACTGTATTGAATCGTGCTTTGTTTTTATATTTTTCGGCTCTATACCTATGCACGACTATATTTAAAGTCAAACTCAATGGTGTCTTACAAGATACATTATTTTGATTTTCTATATTCAACAGAGGAGTAGAATGGTGCAGTCATTTATGTCTCTAGAAATTATTAAAAAAGGGTTCAGTCCAATGGTGCAGCAACTTCGGATTCCTATTCTCCTCAGAGACATAGAAACTCAAGCTTTTCGAATTTTACTGGCAATGATTTTCGTTAATGTCCCCGAGAATTATACAAAAATAGCGCAATGCAATATCGCAACGGTTTCGACTTCTCTTTACTCTACCAATTTATAGAAAGTGGAGTCTCTCTAATACTGTTCTAGTCAATATTTCTGAGAGTATAAAAAGAGGGTGTAATATTGCAAGAAGGTTTGATCTTTTGATGGATGCAAGTAGTTTGAATTTTCTCCTTTCTGCGTATGATTTTGTTGAAAATAGTTCCTTTCTTTGGTTCCTTTGTCTGATTTTTAGTTGCCGTAACAACAGGTATTTAAAGCACAGATGATATGATGTTAAGTATATTTATGTATTATATAAAGTACCTATATTTGTAATAAAAATTTCAGAGGTTATGTTGAAAAATGATCGATATGCTATTAAACTTTAATAATTTAGTAATTAGGTCTGTTGGTAGACCCTGCACTATCTCCACTGGTATATGTTAGTTTTGTAATATTTAAATCTGGTTGATGAAAAACTACACACCAGTGCAGGTTATTGTAGCATCTACGAACAAATGAATTGGCAATTATTCCTTTAGGAAAAATATTCAACACAGCTTAATTAATAAAATGAAAAAAATCACAATCATGTCGTATATAGTTTTTTTAAGCATAAAATAATTTTTATATTAATACTAGTTCAAAAGTGAAATTACGACCTCTATACTGTGGAGAGTATTGAAACGCTCGACTGACGAATACAACTCTATGCCGTAGGGAGATTTAGAAAACGATATTCAAACGTGGCGTCATCCTATACACCTCTATAATTTTTCGTTTGCTGTGTTAGCATGAAAATAAGTTAAGTGCAGAATTGGGTAGTTTAGAATCCATTTAAAAGTAGTATTGTTATCGTATTTGCCGCTATTAGCAACTGAAAACACGGACAAACATTTTTGGCACTTGAGTGTAAAACCTTTTAAATCTTCCTTTTTCAAATATGGGTAATTCTTTTGTATTTGTGCATTAAAGATGCATTTTCCTCATTGCGGAGGCATATCATTTAGAGTTTGAATTATAACGAAATCAAGACGTAAAAAACAATAGATATTACAATATTTAACCACAATAAAACGCGCAGACGTCAGGAACATGCGCAATACTAAAATAGTTCCGAACTATTAGTTCGTTTGGGGAGAGCCAAGTGCGAAAGCGAACGCGAATGTATTTAGAGGAAGTAGGGCGAGCAGGGTTGAACGATTGGGCGAAAAATTTGTCAAAGTGGAAAATATAATTTTATGTTTATGGCTTAATTAGTATTGTAGGTATATGTAGGTATGAAAACAGAAAAAACAGAAATCCTTTGAAAAAACAGAACTTTTACTCTACTTAATTTACAACCAGAACATGGTTCTCAAAAACTGTATAGTTCTGGTTAAATCAGAACGGTGGGTCACCTTAACTTAAGTAGAAAATCATGAAACTGCATGAACGCATAGTCACGGTTTTGGCTAACCATGTCTTAATAAGGTATAGTACTCCCGCTATAGGTGTAGGTAGCACAGTTCTCCATACCCATGTTAAAAACAATAAAAACTATCTTTTGCATCGGGTTTTCGCAACGCGGGCGCCATCTGGTGGTGTTCGATAGCTTTGTTGACAATTCAAGAAATGTCAACAATATATTTAAGCCTCGATTTAAGCATACAAACTGCACATCATTTTTAAATAAATATTTATTTTTTTCACAAAAGAGAGAAAGGAAGTCTTACTCGACAAATTTTGTTCAATTGCACAGCTAAATCACTCACGTTATTTGGGTTTCGCGTTGCAAGTAAAAACTAAAAAATTGTGGTACTAACTCGATTTCGATTTAGTATTATTGATTAAGAAAATCAACGCTTATATGCTCATATAGTTACGTTAGTGTGTGTATTTTATCTAAGTGATCATGCCATGATCATCATGGTGAATTATTGTGTTTTTAATTCTAAATAAAATTAATTGTTGTACAAACATAACCTTAAAATCGAACATTTTTATATTTAGGTCCTTTAAACGATAAAATATATCTAGGAATTCATGGCAACATCATATTATTATATGTAATACCAGTTCTTGCTATTATACAGTTGAGTGGAGACTTTCTTAATCAACGCTTTTAATAATACATAATGCTGTTTGAATTTAGACTTACCTAATATTTGTTTTATGATTTTTACTGAATTGAAATGTTTACAATTTTCACGTAAATCATTAGTAAAAGGTGGATTTATTGTATCTAATAGGTAATGTTTACAGGGACTGTATGCAATTTATTTCTTCATTTGGATTTTCACTGTTCCTCTCGAAAAACACCCAACAACACAATAAATCGAGCTACGGTTTTTTTCTCGATATTACATTATTATATTAATATGTTACTGTAACATTGTTACACATATTAACATTTTCCGGCTTTATTTTCAAAAACACTCGTTTGCAACATACGCGTTTAAATGCTGAATTCAGGTTAAGATGATAACGGCCTCGTGGTGGCGCTACTAGCGATGCTTCTTTAAGCTCGTATTACAGTCTGCAATTTTACTTGCAGCAATTTTTTTTTTCATGCAAGTTTTATTGCTGACTAATACACTTTGCAATTCCAATTCCAACTTGCATGATACCAAGTGAAGAAAAATATATAAATTTATAAAATATTATAAAGTACAATTAAAATTAAACTTAGCTCCTGCCACACGACATTATAATATATATTAGGTAATAGAATTGAGAATACAAAGAAACAACACACAAATGACTTTAACAAACAATCCAGAGGAACGCCTAAATGCAGGAACGGGCTCCTTCTTAATAAATTTTTTGCGTAAAATCAAACCAAACCTAGGCACCCCACCCCTCGTAACCACCCTATAATAGGGTCCCTATTGAAGACGATTATTCCATCGTGCATTGCCCTTTATCTCGAACTTTGTTACCGATGGAATAATCGTCTTCAATAGGGTAGTTAGGCTTCAATAGGGCGGTTACGAGGGTTGGGGTTGGTTAGGTTTGGTTTTATTTTACGCAAAATTTATATTAAGATTGAGCCCATTCCTGCATTTAGGCGTTCCTCAAACCAGCGACTCTAGGGAATTTAATGTGTGGATTGGTATGAAAAAAGTTACCAACTAACAATAAAAATCGAGCAGGACCGATATTTTGAAACGGCAATAGACTTGCACAAAACGTCGCTATGCGTATGCATTCATACAAGAATATTGCACGTAGAATTGCAGACTGTAATATGGGCTTTACCGTATCATATTTACAAAATACCCAAAATAGTGTGTATAATCCAAAAATGCAAAAAAATACAGGGTGTTCCATTGAAAATAAAAAAGTTGGTGTCGTCCCAAGGAAAATCGAACACTCTGTATAAATAAAAATATAACATTAAAAAAAACTTGCCTTACAATTTTTTGTGACTCCAGTAGTTTAGAGATAATTATATGGGTCACCTTACGGGGACCACCCTGTACTTTTTGCTTCGACTGTCTAAAAATATCATCGTTGACTATAGTCAATAACTATAGTTACTATAGTTACTTTTCGCAAATATTGTATGAAAAATTGCATTTATTCCACCATATAATTACCAATGTATTCCTTTGTGTGCATGCAAATCCTAGGGCAACCAACAAAAACCATTTAAGCACCATAAAATTAGCGTTGAATGTAACCAACATTGCGCTGGCACAAAATTAGTAATTGCATACAATTATCCGTTAGCAAAGCTTCGCAAGCTCGTTTTCACAGCGTAAGGAATTGAAATATTGCACCGAGAAACTCGGCATTAAATTTTATCGAAGCATGAAATCTTTCTTTTTGTGGTATGGCAGAAATTTTATTTTAATGATGTGGAACTCCGGAAATTTAAAAGCGCCTTTGGTAAGATCATCTACTAACGTATTCATAAAATTAATAAAATGTACACCTACGAGTATATTACAAAATTTGTAATATACTCGTAGGTATACCTTTTATTAATTTAAATTTAATTTAATGTTTAAATAAAAAAAAACAAATGTTTTTCAGGGAGATATTCGCGTAGGTAGGTACTCTTATTTTTAGTTTCAGTGATGAGTTGGTTATGGTTTTTGGCAATAGAAATAAGAAGCAAATTCCAAAAGACGTTAATTTAACAACTTAAATTCTACATAAATTGGATGACTTTTTCAAAACATTATCTAAACAACTCACGGCGACAAAGTTTGAAAAAGTTCTTCTACATAGTTATGCTGTCATTTGTGTTTGGTGTTCAGTTTCACCATGGATTTTTTTATTCTACCTTAATGTTTAGAAATAATTCAAAATTATTTTACTCGAAGAGCACTTCCTATAAGTATGTACACTGTACATTGTACAGAAAATCGTATTTTTTAATGAGGCACACTTTTGGCTAAATAACTTCGTTAATAGGCAAAATAACCAATCACATCCACAAGCGATG